CAGGATTACAGGTATGAGCCACTGATACCTGGCCATTTTTTTTCCCTTCAGAAGTTTACTTGGTGTGACTTTGGTAGAGGTGGTAGTAGAGGAAGGATTGGCAAAAACCAGGTAGTTGCAACCTTTAAACAAAGAAAAACATAACCAAACATGGGCTGTTTGGCTCTCTTCAGGTGGGGCTTTGCCCTGGTACTTGTTGTCACTCTGGAAAAGCAAGGAGTTGTCATTTGTCTGAGTCACGCAGCAATCAAGGGTCAGGCCCAGCTTCCTGATTTGGAAATCCCCATCCAGGCTGAAGGGTGGCAGAGAGTACAAAGCTCGGGGATCTGTCACCTCTCTCACTCTCTCTGGGCCCGGGTGCTGTTACTGAGCATTCAACCACTGGAGCCACACAGCTCCACTTCTGGCTTTTGGGGGGTTAATTGGAGATAAGAGTCTCAGGGACTTTCTTGCCCAAGCTAGCTTTGAACCATGTTCCTCACATCTCAACCTCCTGAATGGCTAAGATTACAGGTATGAGCCGTCGGCTGTCCAACTAATCTCTCCCATCTCTTTTGTGTCCCCAGGCCAAGGTTCCCTGGGGGGGGGGTGTAGATGGTAAACTGAAATCCAGTGAGATGGCATTGCTTGTTTGAACAGTGCATACAACCCATATGTACATTCCACTGTTCTGTCTAAAAGGCCTACTGTGTGCTAAGCCTTGGGCTTTATTCACATTACCTCATTGTCTTAATGATCACATAAAGGGAGGGTACAATCATCCCCATTTTTCCAGAAAAGAAACAAAAACAAAAACAAACTTGGGGTTTAGAGGTTGCCCAGGTAGCAGGTGGTAGAATAGGCATTGTAACCCCAGTAGACACACAGGCGACAAAAAAGTTCAGGTACTGGGGCTGGGAAGGTGGCTCAGTGGTAGAGCGCTTGCCTTGCATGTATGAGGCCCTGGGTTCAATTCCTCATCACCACATAAGCAGAAAAAGCCAGAAGTGGTGCTGTGGCTCAAGTTGTAGAATGCTAGTTTGAGCTGAAGAGCTGAGGGACAGCGCCCAGGTCCAGAGTTCAGGCCCCATGACCAACAAAAACAACAAAACAAAAGTTCAGGTCCTGGAGGCTCAGGCCTGTAAGCCTAGCTACCCAGGAGGCTGTAATCTGGAGGCTTGAGGATTTTCTGCCCAGGCAGAAAAGTTGGAGAGACTTCATCTCCAATTAACCAGAAAAAAGCAAGGAGACGTGGCTCAAGTGGTAAATTATCAGCCAGATTACTCAGCGGGGCACCAGTGGCTCATTCTTGCAATCCTAGCTACTCAGGAGGCTGAGATCTGAGGATCAAATTTCAAAGCTAGCCTGGGTAGCAGTCTGTGAAACTCTTTATCTCCAATAAACCACCAGAAAACTGGAAGTGGCACTGTGGCTCAAGTGGTAGAGCACTTGCCTTGAGCTGAAGAGCTGAGTGACAGTTCCCAGGTCCAGAGTTCAAGCCCCACAGCTGACCAAAAAAAAAAAAAAGATTGCTCAAAGCCACACAGTGAGCGATCAAGACTAGAACCCAGGGCCTTTGCTTCCAGTCCTGTGTGTTCTATCCACAACACCGTGTTGTCCTGACAATGTGGTGATTTCTTCTTCCTCTCTCTTTTGTGCCAGTACCAGGGCTTGAACTCAAGGCATCACACTTTTGCAGTGAGATGCTGGGTAATGGTTTCATGTCAATGTCCTCATTCTCCAACAAGGTTACTTAGGAGTCATTTGGCACTTACGGGATATGATACTCTAAGGCCAGACTTTTTTTCATTAAGTAGTTATACAAAGAGGTTTCAGTTCCACAAGTTCAGTTGTAAGTACAATGTGCCTTGCTCAATGGCCACCCCTTCCTTCCATCATTCCCTCCCATTTTTACCCTTCTCTCAAACAACAAAACCCTTATAATCAACACTTTGGGATCGGAGGCATGGCTCAGGTGGTAGAGCACGAGCTAATGAGCAAAATTATCAGTACCAAGTTTGAGTCCCAGTCTAGGGCAACCCCACACCCCCCAAAAAAAACACAATCTTTTTTTCCCCTCTCCTATCCCTACTCTCAAATTATATCATTCATTTATGTCAGATTTTTTTTCTCTGTGTGCCATTACTGAGGTTTCAATTTGTGGCCTGGGCCTGGTCCCTGGGCTCTTTTGCTCAAGGCTAACACTCTACCACTTGAGCCACAGTTCCACTTCCAGCTTTTTTGTTAGTTTATTGGAGATAAGAATCTCATGGACTTTTCTGCCTGGACTGGCTTCGAACTGTGATCCTCAGATCTTAGCCTCCTGAGTAGCTAGGATTACCATGGGAGCCATCAGCATCTATCTTAGGTCAAGATATATATTTTTTATTTTTACACAAACAACTGGACTAATGTGGAAACATAATGCAAATTATTGGAGCCTCTTCAATTTTAAGTAAATTCCAATGCTCATGGGGAGAGGGGTAGAGAAGGCTGGGGTTGCCATCCAGGAGGGGGTGAATCAGGTAGCACAGAGGAAGCACAGGAGATACGAGCTAGTTAGGGACTGATAAAAGGCTTGGTGCCTTTTATCATGCTATAGCATGACATCAGTGGTGTGAATTGGGTCCTAGGTTCCAAATCCCGTTTCCTCTTGGGATGGTGACAACTGGAGTCTGGCTGGTGAGTTTTGTTTTGTTTTTTGGTTGGTCATGGGACTTGAACCCTGGGCCTGGATGGACACTGTCCTTCAGCTCTTCAGCTCAAGGCTAGCACACTACCACTTGAGCCACAGCACCACTTCCAGTTTTCTGGTGGTTTATTGGAGATAAAAGTCTCATAGATTTTCCTGCCTAGGCTGGCTTTGAACCTTGGTCCAAAGATCTCAGCCTCTTGAGTAGTTAGGATTACAGGCGTGAGCCACCAGTACCTGGCTCTGGCTGGTGTTTGTGTGACTCCTCTCCAGAATCAAAGTGGATGGAAATTCCTTCCCATAATGAAAGTGAACTGGAATATTGTTTTGAAAACTTGGTAATACCTTTGAAGTGACTGAGGCAGGTGTGTGTTTGATCATACCACTTGATTGACAAGTTTCCCCATTTTACTATAAGGACCTAGATGAACTAGTTCCTGGAATCCTTTCCCCCAGTCATTTTAGATAAAGGTCTGTCAATGACAAAAGTTTTGTTGTTGTTGCTGTTATGTATTGGGCCCATTCTGGGGCTTGAACTCAGGGCCTGGAGTTGTCCTTGAATTTTTTTGCTCAACGTTAGCATTTTATTATTCTTGGCTGGTCATGGGGCTTGAATTCTGGGCCTGGGTGCTGTCCCTCCACTCTTCAGCTCAAGGCTAGCTCCTCTACCACTTGAGCCACAGTGCCACTTCTGGCTTTCTGGTGATTAATTAAAAGATAAAAGTCCCATGGATTTTCCATTTGGGCTGGCTTTGAACCTTGATCTTCAGATCTTAAGATTACAGGTATGAGCCACTGGCACCTGGCTGATGGATGACAATTTTTTTTTAGGTCTTTTGCAATATGCTTCTCATATTTGCTCAGTTTAAATAATGGTTGGCTGGGAATGTAGCCTAGTGGTAGAGTGCTTGCTTAGCATGCATGAAGCCCTGGGTTTGATTCCTCAGTACCACATACACAGAAAAAGCCCGAAGTTGCACCGAGGCTCAAATAATAAGAGTACTAAAGCTTTGAGTGAAAAGAAGGTCAGGGACAGTTCCCAGGCCCTGAGTTCAAGCCCCAGGACTGGCAAAGAAACAAAACAAAACAAAAAAAAGAGTGGTCCTTTATTTCAAGGTCAGGCCTTTCACTTTTTTCTTGGAGTTGAAACTTAACATTTCTGCTAGGTATAGTGATGTACACCTCTAATCCTAGCTACTGCAATAGCTGGGGCAGGAAGATCACACATTCTAGGTTATATAGCCAGACCTTAACTCAAATAAACAACCAAAAAAAAAAAAGTATTCCTAACCTTAAACAAGTGAATGCCCCTCACTGTAACAGCTTCTTGGGATTACCTGGCCTATATATAGATGGGCGGGATGGAAGGATTTGTCCACCTGGTTTTGGATCTTCTTTCTTTTTGGATCTTGTTTCAACCTCTTGAGGTCTTCTATTCTCTCTATGCCTTGTACATTATATTAAGAAAAAAAAAGAGGTGAGTGAAATATAACCTCCTCGCTACGGTGATTATTGTAAAGTGTCTGTAGTAGTTAAGTGTGCAAAAAATGTTAATAGTGCCCAGCACTGGTGGCTCACCCCTGTCATCCTAGCTACTCAGGAGGTTAGATCATAGGACCACGGTTCAAAGCCAGCCTGGGCAAGAAAGTCCCTGAGACTCTTATCTCCAATTAACCACCAACCCCCTCCCCCCCAAAAAAAAACCAGAAGTGGTGCTGTGGCTCAAGTGGTACAGCACTTGCAATACCCCACCCCCCAAAAAAGGTTAGCAATAATAATTAATAATCCTATTTTTTAAATGGGTGCTTTAGCCTAACTGGGTTTAGAAGGACCCTGCAGGGAACTTTGAAGCCTCTGGCTCCAAATGCTGACGTGCATTTTGGGGTGCTTCCCCCCCTCCTCCCCAACCTCTCCCAAAAGGATGGGGTTGGGTGGTCTCTGAAATTCCCCGCTTTCTAGGTGGTCCGGGCCTGCGTCCAGGGCTTCCGGCGCGGGGCGGTGGGGCGAGAGGCTTCGCGGACGCGGGGAGGGCGGCGCGGGGAGGACGCAGTCTGCGGGGAAGCCCGCCATCGAGGACCTCGCCCACCCGCGGGTAGGTGTGTGTGTGTGTGTGTGTGGAGGGGGAGGAGACAGGGCTCCGCAGCGACCCAGCGCCGCCAGAACCCGGCCGGACGCTGTTTACTTGGCTCCGCTCCGCCCCCACCCCGGCAGCGCGCGGCGCGATTGGAGGAGCGTGCTGTCAGTCAAAGCGGGGTTTTCCCAGGGGTGGGGCCTCTCCTTCCTCCCCCTTCCCCCTCCCTCCGCACTTCCTCATCTTGGGCCGCGTCCCCTCCCCCTGTCCCGGTCCAGGTCCGGCTTCTGAGGAGACTCGGAGCAACCGCGGGGGACCTTACGAAGCTCGGCGTCCCTGGACGCGGCGAGCGGGGTGCTGACGCTTATCCCCCCCATTTCCCCACCTCACACACATAGACAAGTTCTCGTCCTCAAGTAAGCCGTAGCGGGAGAGTGAAGGGGCGGAAGGGAAACCGGGAGTGGGGTACTTCAAAGGCCTCGGCCACCCCGGCCTGGAGTAGAGGTAAGGCTGGGGAAGACGGCTTAGGCCGCGGGACGCCTGCCACCCCGAGCTCGCTCCCGGAGCGACTCGGTGGTGGTTGGGGCCGGGCCTGCGCGGGGAGGCCGGGCCTGCCGCCGAGGGGCCGCGCGTGCGCACTGCGGGGCGAGGGGGGGGGCGCCTGCGGGCGCCACTACTGATAGCCCGCTGAGCACGGTAGTTAGGTAAATAGTGAGCGCGTACAGCTCTGTAATCGTGATGAGAAAAAAAGGGCAATAACTTTTGGGGGCGATTTGATGAGATCAAATGTTGATATAAAGCGTGTGTTAAACTCTTTATATATATATATATAGAGAGAGAGACAGACAGACAGACAGAGACACAGAGAGATCCTAAACACCAGCATGATTTTTATGCCCATTTTACGGTTGAGAAAATCCGGAACCACTTGGAGATTGGGTTCAGTGTAGTAAGTTGTAAAGTCAGGCTTTTTCTTTCTTTCTTTTTTTTTAATTATTATCTGTAAGTAGTTGTACAAAGAAGTTGCCATTCTACAAAGCAAGACAGGTTGTGAACTACAGCTTCCCCCCCTTTGTTTCTGTTCATGTGTGTGTGTGTGTGTGTGTTTCTCCTTTGGAGACATTTGTTACACATGCAGGGTAGATTCAGTGAGTTTCTAGGAGTATTTTGTGGGGCTGGAGTTTTGACTTTGGGCTATTTTGACTGTAGGACATTTGTGTGTCTGATCATATGTGGAAAGAATCACTTTATACATTCATTGAGTGTGTACAGGAGTGGGTGGGAATTTTGTGTGACTGAGAAACTTTGGGTTAGGGAGGGAGGGACTTTTGCGGATGAGGTAAGAGCCTCCATCCCCACCCCTTTGCAGAATGACAGTGCAGGGAAATGTGGAGATTCCTAATGCATCATTTTTATGTCACCACCGCATCAAAATGGGATTTAATCAGCTCTTACTCATTTTCCAGACAATGGGGGATGTACTTCGAGGGGATTTCAGCATCTGGTGCGTGGTTAGACTCTCAATTTTTTTTTAATCCTTAGCTATGGATATTGGTGGAATGTTTATTGTTAGTTCAAACTTCACAGCAATCAGTGATACTGTATTAATATCCTGTTGCCACAGAACATGAGTCAGTAAACTGATAATGAAAATATTATACTTTGTGAATGCTTTACTAGGTGCCAGTAATTGTGTGTGTGTGTGTGTGTGTGTGTGTGTGTGTGTTATGGATTTGAATTCAGGGCCTTAGCATTGTCCCTTACTTTTTTTTTTTTTTTGGCCAGTCCTGGGACTTGAACTCAGGGCCTGCGCACTCTTCCTGAGCTGCTTTTGCTCAAGGCTAGCACTCTTCCACTTGAGCCACAGCGCCACTTCGGGCTTTTTCTGTTTATGTGATACTGAGGAATCGAACCCAGGACTTCATGCATGCTTGGCAAGCACTCTACCACTGAGCCACATTCACAGCCCAGGACTGACTCTTCATGGAAGCATTTGATAATTGCTCCCCCTGGAAGCTACACATGGGAGAATCTTTGTTCTACATATGTAGGTGACCATGTTGTCCCCCATCCATGGGTGTCCTGTGTGTGTACACAGTGTGGCTGAGTGTTGATGCCTGCTTCTGGATGCCCACACTAGCAGCTTCTTTGGGCCCCAGGAAACGGTGGGGTCTGACTCATCCCCCCCTTACCCCCAGTACTGCTGTGCCTGGGGGCCCGGATGTCCTTGTTGGGTCAAGTCGACCTGATTAAGGTACAAAGCATTGTGGGAGGTTGCTTATCTGCCTCCTCCTACTGGCCACTCTTCCTCCTGCAGGAGCTGTGATTTAGCCTCTTGGCCAGCCTGCTTTTTCCTGCCAGTGTGCCCAGCTTAGTTCTCATGCTGAAGCCTTTGTCTTGCCTTCTCTGCTGAATACCTTCCATAGCTCTTCCCGAGGCTGGTTTTTCCTCATCTCACTTCAAATGTCACCTCACCAGAGGGGCCTTCCCTGACCTCCTTATGCAAAATAGGCCCCCCCTCTCACTTTCTATCACATTGCTATTTTACTTTTTTTGCGTGCGTTCATCATGTTGTGAGAATATATTTGCAAATGAGAAAGTACATGCACAGAACTTGGTGGCTAGCATAGATTTTGTTTGTGGTTTCTTTTTTGCCAGTCCTGGGGCTTGAACTCAGAGCCTGGGCACTGTCCCTGAGCCCCTTTGTGCTCAAAGCTAGTGCTCTACCACTTGAGCCATGGCTCCACTTCTGGCTTTTTCTGAGTGATTTATTGGAGATATGAGTCTTACGGACTTTCTGTCCAGGCTGGCTTTGAACTGCGACCCTCGGATCTCAGCCTTCTGAGTTGTGAGGATGACAGGCGTGAGCCACTGGCTTCTCTTTTCCTAGAACAATAGTGGAGAAGGCAAGGATCATTTTAGTCTTCCCAAGTGTACTCAGACACTGGGGAACAGGATGGGTGTGGCTCTGCTGAGTGTGTCCAGCACAGCAGTAGAAGAGATAAAACTGGACTAGTGCGCAAGGTGTGGATGAGAACCAGAACCTGATCTCGCGAGACATCACCCTTGGAGAGTTACAAGCACGTCTTGCTGGTTCTCAGGCCCCCCCTGGGCCATGTTCAGGAGCATGGGTGCTGAACCTGGCTCTGCCCTCCACCGATAGGCGGTCCGATGAGGACCACTGGACTATGAGCTCTACTGGGAAGCATCAAGACTAACTGGTGGCAAGTGTTTAGAATATGAAATACTCCAAGGGGTACCAGGTAGTGAGGAAGGGATCTAAAAGGAGATGACATTGTGGATATTCCCTAGAAATATGGTGAAGACCCCGATCTCTTTTTTTTTTTTTTTTTTTGCCAGTCATGGGGCCTGAACTCTGGGTCTGGGCGCTGTCCCTCAGCTCTTCAGCTCAAGGCTAGCGCTCTACCACTGGACAGCGCCACTTCCGGCTTTTTCTGATTTTGTGGTACTGAGGAATCGAACCCAGGGCCTCATGCTTGCAAGGCATACACTCTATCACTGAGCCACCTTCCCAGCCCACCCCAATCTCTTATGAGACATAGAGGTCAAGGTAGAAGATTTGGAGTAAGGCTCTGTTGGATTAGAGGGTCTTTGCTGACCATCCGCTGAGTCAGTAAAGGCCCTAAGAGAAACCAGGCCTGGGGCTGGAGGCGTGGCTCGGTTGGTAGAGCGTTAGCCAATGAGCAAAGCATCAGGTGCTGAGTTTGAGTCTGAGTCTCTCACACACAAACAAAAAAAGAGAAAACGGACCTGAAACTGCCTGACTTCCGCTAGGGAAACAGCTAGAGCAGCTGGTTCACAAACCTAGCCTGCATTGGTGTCCCCTGGGCTTCAGCAGGTCCCCCTCTTTTCTCACTGGGCCATACCTTTCTGGTGCCAACCCTCCCCTCCTCTCGTCCCCCTCCCCCCAGTGTCCCTGAACATGGGCCTAGGGCAGGCTTCAGTCTAAGGAGAGTGACAGGGAAGGGATTGGGGTAGGGGCCGCTACATTCCAGCCCCCCACTAACCCTGGTAGTCCCTGTGGCCACTTTGGGAAGTTTCCCCTTGTTCTCCCCGTGACCTGCCTGGATGATCACTCTGACTGGAATGAATGACTGCTTGTCTTGAGGCCATTCATCCCTGCAGAGCTGAGCACGTCTGCTCTGAGGACCTGGTCCTGAGCCAGTTTCCTCTGAAAGGCAGGAGCCCCGTGTCCCGCAGCACCTGCGGGCAGGTCAAGCCTGGCCTAGGCAGGTGTGTGTAGAGGGGGTACTGTGGGAGTCCTGCTCAGAGCCCCAGCTGGCAGTTCTGGGTGGCAGAGGGGTGCCTGTGAGTCCTGGTCCCTCCACACGCCACTTCTGCTTCTACAAGTGTGGCTGCAGCCTGATGCTGAACTGGCTCATAGACAATACCAATACTTTCTTGTCTAGAGAGAGGCGACTCACAGATGCATGAGCACCACTCCCCTGCACCTAGAGAGAACACCTGGAGTTGCATCCCAACTACCCTGCCAGCCCCAGAGAAACTAGTACGCTGGGTTTAATATTGGCATCTGTGTGTGCACATGCACACCAACACTGATACTTGAACTCAGGGCTTGGGTACTGTCCTTTTAGCTTTTTTGCTGAAGGCTGGCACTCTACCACATGCACTGTATAGCTCCACGTCTGGCTTTTTTGGTAGTTAATCGGAGAGAGAAGAGTCTCCCAGATTTTTCCTGCCTTGGCTCGCTTTGAATGGAGATCCTCAGATGTCATTTTCTTGAATAGAGTCATAGGCATGAATTGCTGATGCCCAGCTTGAATTTAGGATTTATTCTTCTTCTGTATGTACAGTTTTATGATGAAAGTGTGCATCTGTAAATAATATACATATGGTATTGTTTTAAAATCAAGCTCAAATACCATTACACTGTGTTCTGTCACAACCTGTTTTTGTTTGTTTGTTTTGCTTGCTATTATAGCTGTGAGTTGTAGCTCTGGTTCACTCATAGTCACTATTATATAGCATTTCCTGGTAGGAATTTATGCTAGTAAGTATGTATTTCTTTTCAGTACTGGGGTTTAAACAGCTCCCCACCTTGCACTTGCTAGGCAGGTGCTCTGCTACTTGAGCCACTCCTCCAGCTCTACAGTTTTTGTTGCAGTTTCCTGCCCTTTGTTGTTAGAACTGCATCTTTGGCTTTTATCTGAGTCTCTTCCCAGGCCTCAATACCATATTTGATTTATAGCGTATTTCTTAGAGCGAAATTGAGGGATTAGGTAAGTCAGCTGAGGCATGTTGGGAACGGAGAGACAAGAGGAGACTTGAGACCTCCAATTCTTGTTGTTTCCAGATGGGGCTCAGTGTGTTTTGTTCCCACAGCTTGTGACTGAGGCCAGTGTTCCCTCCTGCATTCAGTGAGCTCCTAGCTGCTGGGAGGTTCGCCGCCTCAGTGCAGGGGCTGAGGGGAGGAAGGCTGGAGGAGACAGCGGACGGGGTTGCACGGGGAGTTCTCAGCAATTTTAGTAACAGAAGAGCACTAGGCAGAGGTCAGTGCTGTACTGGTGAGGGTTAGCTTCCTTAGGATTGTGTGGTCATGAGTCAGGCCCTGACCTTTGAACTCAGCCAGCAGAGCAGGTGTTGAGCCAGGTGTGAGTTGCACACCTGGGTGGTTGTTGCAGCGTAGGGTGGTTGTCTCTAGTTTCCTGTTATTGTGCCTGCTGTGGTCATCTCAAGACCGGGCCCAGGGCCCAGGTGGTACTCCTGTGCCCAACGCCTAGGCTGGGAGCACTGGCCTGGAGTCCTTCCTCCTCTGTTTCTTATCAGGCCCCTGTAGCCTGGTCTTTGTTTTTGCCACTCCTGAGGCTTGAACTCAAGGCCTGGGCACTCTCCCTGAGCTGCTTCTGCTCAAAGTCAAGGCTAGCACTCTACCATTTGAGCATAGCACCACTTCTGGCTTTTTTTGTTTATGTGGGACTGAGGATGCTAGGCAAGCACTCTGCCACATTCTCAGCCCTGGTCCTTGTTTCTAATAAGGGGACTCTTCCCCCTTCCCAAGGTCCTCCAGCCTTAGTAGGTGCCAGAACAATGATTCTCTCTTGTTATCTCTCTCTCTTTCTTTCTCCCTCTCTCTCTCTCACACACACACACATTCACACTCACATATGGATATGAATAGAGAAAGAGGTGCCAGCTGTGAGCAAAAAAGCCTAGGTAGAACGAGATACCCAGAATTCAAACCCTGGCACGCTAGTACTCATTGCACGTATACATACACATGCATACACAAACACACAAATGTCTTATTGCACATATATACTTGTACTTTGACAGTTGTTTTGTGGGTGTTTTTCTGTGTCATCACAGGCTTTCCCATCGTTTTTGATGGCTGTATAGTATTCAGTATATGATTAGTCCAGTGCCAATGCTGTGATAGAGTAGACTTGCCGACTCAGCAAGTTCTGGCCCATTAGGTAAGAGAAGCTCCCTCCAACACAATTTTCTACAGCAGCCCCTTTGTCCTCAGCCAGTCTGGTGGACATACGGAACATTAACAGCATGGAGGGAAGGTGTGGTGTTAGCTGGCTGTCACTGTCACGGATTACTGGAGGTGATTATGAGGTTTACTTTGGCTCTTGGTTTTGGACAGTCAGAGACCAATTGTCCCTATTGCTTTGGGCCTGTAACAGGGCAGCACAGCATGGCCGAAGCACGTGGCCCAGCCACAAGCTCACCTCATCAGTGAGGAAGCAAAGAGAAAAGAGAAAAGGGGAGGGGGAGGAGCCTGCCCCCACAATTCCCTTTGAGGGCGTGCCTAAGGACCACCTGCCTGGTTCTACCTCTCAGGTTCCACCATCTCCCAATTAGTGTCAATTAGCAAGCCTGTAACACAGCTGGACTATGGCTGGCACTTGCCACCATAGGCTGACCTCTGGAGGATTGTGGTTGCATGGGTTAGGAGTGGTGAGCTAGTGGGGAGGCTGGGGAGGGGAGCCAGGCCCTGTGGGGGTGGAGCTGGAGCCAGGGCCAGGCAGCTACAAGGCACCACTGGAGGTTCTTGATCTCCCTGCGCTGCATGGGGAAGAGCAGCATCTTTTTTTTTTTGTCAGTTGTGGAGCTTGAACTCTGGGCCTGGGCGCTGTCCCTCAGCGATTCAGCTCATGGTGAGCGCTCTACCACTTGAGCCACAGCACCACTTCCAATTTTCTGATGGTTTATTGGAGATAAGAGTCTCACAGACTTTCCTGCCGGGGCTGGCTTTGAACTGAGATCCTTGGATCTCAGCCTCCTGAGTAGCTAGGATTACAGGTGTGAGCCACCAGTGCCCGGCTTAGAATAGTGAGTTTTGTCTCTGGGTGGCGAGAGGAAAATGCATGCACAGTGCTGCTGCCCTGTGGCCACACATGGTGACTTCCACCAGGTGTCACAGTCCCTCTCAACTTAACCAGGTACCTGCAGGGTCCAGGCTGAATTCTAGCACAGGTGTTTGGCAGGTGCCTTTGGCCTGCTTTGTGGAGGCGGGGGGGGGGCAGTGGGTGACTCCCCAAGAGGCAAGGAGGGGGAAGGACAAGAGTGGTCAGGCTCAGCTGCCCCTCCGTTCTCCCCCTCTTCCCCCCTCTCCTCCCGCATGTCAGGAGGGGGCAAGACTGGCCATGGGCTGAGGAAGCCATCAGTCTTAGCTCTCAGGGAAGCAACTACCCCCTGAATGCTTTCTATGCTGTCTCTTTTTTTTTTTAAGTTTTAGCAAGGATTGATTGATTGATTGATTTTGGTGCGGGTCCTGGGGCTCGAACTCGGCCTGAGCTGCTTTTGTTCAAGGCTATTGTGCCATCAGATGGGAAAACAGTACTTGGAAAAAATGTTTATGCTACGTGTGTGTGCATGCCTCTGATCAATGCTCTCAGGTGTGTGGCCTCTCGGAACGGGCGGGGCCTTGCAGTCCCCCTGCCGTGAATCGGAGGCATGGAGCTTGCACAATGGACCTCTCAGAAGATGCCCCTGTACACAGGTGTGTCGAGCCGGGCTCTGCTCTCCCAGAACTTCTCATCTCCCAAATGAGCCAGCCCTGGGGAAGAAAATGAGCCCTGTCACCAAGCAGGGTCAATTGTGGACCTGTGTAGGGCACCTGCAGAATGGTGGATGGGAACCAGGACACCTGCTGCTACTTGTCCCTTAAGGCAGCCCCAGTCCCCTTGCCAGCCCTCAGTCCCAGGTCCCAGGGATGGCCCACCGTCCCAGCAGTGACAGGAGCACAGAGACACCTAACATAGACTCCTGTCCAGGAATGTGTCAGCCACGTGGGCCCATGCTGGCTCCGATCAGGCCTATCAGGCCTAGTGGCAGGCATGGGGGTGGGCAAGGAGGACACTTGGGCCACCAGTCAATCTGAGTGTCTAGCTCTTTGTCACACCAAGAGCACCACCCACACAGATTCCTTATCACAGTACTGTGTCACCTTGACCTTTCAGGTTAAAAACAAGTCACCCCTAGCAGGCGTGACTGTGTCTGTATGCGGGCCACTGTCCTTTGCCTCGTGGGACCTGGCAGGGCATGGGTCTCTGTTGCAGGAGAGTACGTGGGGCTTGTCTACTTTCTAGTCTGTTCCATGCCGTGGGTGATCTGGGTGAACCCCTTGCAACCTCTTAGGCTGCAGGAAACCAGCCGAAAGTTTCTCCATTGCCCGGAGCTTTCCTGCCAGTCTTCTTGAACTCCCTCTGCTGTTCTGGCCTGTCCTGTTGAGGGCGCTCTGGAGCCAGGTGAGTTAGAGCAGGGTTAAAGCCTCAGTCCTCTGGCAGGCTGAGCTGGCTTTATATCCAGCTGTTAATGAGCGTCCGCTGTCTCCTGTGTAGCTCAGAGATGGCATCAACCATGCGTAGGCCGAACAACAGAATCACATAGAGCATTCAGTGAGCACCTGGTCAGCCCCTGATTGGTGAAGCGGGGAATAGTTCTTATTAATGCTGCATCCGAGTCTGCTTTCTGTGGCCGCAGTGGGTTTGAAGGGCGGTGGAAGAAGCATTGTGGAAGCAGCTTTTTCCTTGGGAGGGGAATTCGGGACTCCTGAGTGCTAGATTCTGAGGGCACCCCCTGGGGAAGGATACCCGGGAGCCCTTGCTCAGAGGCTGGCTCAGCCTTTGCTTAGAACCTTCTTCCTGACGCTTCTTCCGGTTCCTGTCTCCTCCTTGCTTGCTTGGGTTTTGTCACCTGGAGTACTTACTGTGTTCCCAACACCCCCATCGCCTCTGCTCCTAGGACATAATCTTCACAGAGGATCTTGTCTGTTTTGTTTGCTGATAATCCCCCAGCTCACTCCAGGGAAGCTCACTCATTATTGAACAGATGAATCAAGGAGTGAAGGAATGAACCAACAAACAGTTTCTCGACCAAGTTATAAAACTATGGTTCAGAAATGATGTAGAGTAACTTCAAGTGTGTGTGTGTGTGGGGTGTGCGCGTGCGTGCGCACATGCACGCATGCATGCACACACATGGGGTGGGGGGCAGATGAAATCAAACAGATTAAGACAGTGTCACTGTGCAGAGAGTCGTTGGATGGATTCTTCAGCTTCTTAGAACTGGAAGGGACAGACTATTCACATCTGAGATAAAGGAGGAGGGTGACAATATTAAATATGAGTCAGGGTTTTTCTTCTTTACGTTGAGGATCACTGTTTAAGACTCTCGCTTCCCCTCTTAGAGTAGAAGAGGGACTCCCCACAATCCCACGGTGCCTTAATGCCAGGCTTGTTTGCTTTTGCTAACATTACACAGGACATGGACTTAAAGCCCACCACTTCCGTTGACAGCTACACTTCCATTTTTCTGGTGATTTTGGAGATAAGAGTTTCATGGAAGGGCTGGGAATGTGGCTTAGTGGTAGAGTGCTTGCCTAGCATGCATGAAGCCCTGGGTTCGGCTCCTCAGTACCACATACGCAGAAAAAGCCAGAAGTGGCACTGTGGCTTAAGTGGTAGAGTGCTAGCCTTGAGCAAAAGAAGCTCAGGGACAGTGACCAGGCCCTGAGTTCAAGTCTCAGGACTGGCCAAAAATAAAAAATAAAGTCTCATGAACTTTCCTGCTTGAACTGGCTTTGAACCCTCAGATCTCAGCCTCCCTTGTAACTACAATTATAGGCATGAGCCACCAGCGCCCAGCCAATTGACATATTTTAAACAAATGAGCAGTGCCCGAGGCTGCTAAAGGGAATGGGTGTCATCCTTCAGTTGCATTAATAGAAGCAGAGTATGCAGATCAAAGGAGGCGATGTTCTGCTCGGCCGTTCTACGGCCAGACCATCCTGAAGTAATGTGTCCTATTGGGGATTCTGGGGACTGCGTTTTGGAGTGTTGGCAAGCTTAGTGTACCCCAGAAAAGACGCCCCAATGACCAGGCCAGCCCGCTGATACACTGCTGTCGTCCTTACAGCCAGGTGGGCACCACGGCAGGGGCTGAGTCACCCTCATGGAAGGGAGAGGACCCTACCGGATCTACGACCCTGGGGGCAGTGTGCCTCCAGGAGAGGCGTCCGCAGCTTTTGAGCGCCTAGTGGAGGAGAATTCCCGGCTGAAGGAAAAAATACAAGGGATAAAGATGTTAGGTAAAGCAGACTGTGCCCCCTGCCGGTGAGCCCCCTCCTTGCAGCCCAAGACCCCAGTCCCTCCACCCGTCGGGAGAGAACGCAGCCAGCCTCCGCCCATCCCACCCTCTCTGTCCCTCCAGGCCCACAGGAGTGTCTTTATGCACTTCCAGAGCACTGGGACATTGGTCCCAGGCCCTGATTCCTCACCACCCCTGAGGGTCATAGAGGGTCATAGAGGGAAGCAGGGGGGAAGGACTAGGAGGCCCAGTTCACAGACCTGGACCCAGAAGGGTCTCGTCTTTGTGAGTGTGAGGGGCAGAGGGCCAGCTGCATGTTGGCAGCAGGGATGGTCCACTGAGGGGTCCAGGGAGCCGAGCTGGCTTGAAACAAGGTACAGCAGCCCCCTCAGCCTCTCTTCTGGCTTCTGCTCAGCTGTTCCCCACTGCCTGGAGCAGCCCCACATTCCTCCATACCACTGCCGTGTCCCAGGCGCCTGGCTGGTGCCACCTCCTCCATGCAGGCCTCAGGGATTTCCCACCTTCTTCAATCCGAAACCTCTTCCTTTGCTCCCTTCTCTGCTTTCAGCCTGGAGGATGAGTTTTAAAATGCTACCTCTCTTCTTGGCACATCCCTGCCCGGGACGGCAGATGGGAGGGAAGGTGGTGCGGTTGGTACTAGCCAGGGTCTCCTCCTGCAGCAGCCCCTGGCTCGGGGGCTTAGTGGTGGCCACCCTAGGCTACCACAGTGTCGTCTCTCCCCCCCCGCCCCCCACTTTCCACACTCCCCTCCCCGTTATTTCCTGGCTTGCTGGTACCTTTTCCTTTCTCTGGCCCATTTCCGGTGAAGAGTTAGAAAGTGGTTGGTTCTGTGTGACCACAACATAGTGGACGTTGTTCAGTCCAGGACTTGAGCCTCCAAATCCAGGCACCGGGCAGGGTGGGAAAGCCAGTGCACGGGGCTGAGAAATCGTCTGCTTCTCCACCCCTGAACCTCTAGGGGAGCTCATGGAAGAGTCTCAGATGGAAGCATCCAGGCTGCGGCAGAAGGCCGAACTGCTGGTCAAGGACAGTGAGCCACACACGCCACCTCCTTCCCCCTTGGACTCCTTCGACCACTTGGCTGAGCTCACAGGTACAGAAGCATGTGGGCACCCCGCCTTCCTGTACCCCAAACTGCTGAACCTTTCTTCCTCTTGCCTAACTCCCTAATCCAGTGAAACCACAGCATTTATCCTGAGGCCACAGTTCCTCTTCATTCCCCAAGGTCAGATCTGGAAAGGACTTCAAAAATAATCTTGTTAAAGATGACTGTTGACTCAGCGCCTCCTGAGGCCCTGGCAGACATTAGTAGTCAATCACAGCAGTTGACTTGAGTCCAAGATGTGGCCTCAGGACCTTTACCAGCATATTCGACAGATACGTAGCAGTTGTTTGCCAACCATAGCACTCCAGGTGGCCATCCCTTATCAGGCTGAGTTAGCGTAGCTGAGTTGCAGAGAAGACTCTGCGCTCATTATTAGCCAGTTTTGGTTTATTTCAGTGTAGGTTAAGAGAAAGGAGGGCAATGACCAGGTGCTGAAGCCCTGCCTTACTTCAGTCCAGCATGTGCCAAGTCCAGGGCAAAGTCTACTCAGCGCCACCTGCTGGCCCCTCCCTGGCCTGGGTGATAGCCTGCCCTTTGGCTGGTTGCGACATTTGCTGAATAATAGACCAAGGTTGGAAAATGGTGATATAGCTGCAGCCAGTGGCCATTTCCAATCTCCGCCTGCCATGCCCATTCAGCATGTCCTGATCCTGACGTCCATCCTGAGCCCGTGATTGATGCCAGGGCTAGCCAGAGTGAGGCACTGAGCCACACTAGGGAGTTCTTGGCAGCCAGGGCCCCAGCAGACTGGGGAAGTAGAACTGAGTGAGAGTCCTGGTTTTGTAATTGCTGGCTCTGTGATTGTGGGTAAGTCGGTGACCTTGTAAAGCCTCAACTTCCTGTAGAGCCAGGCACCAGCGTCTCACACCTGCAATCCTAGCTGTCAGGACGCTGAAGTCTGAAGATCAAAATTTGAAGCCAGCCCAGGCAGAAAAGTCTGTGAAACTCTTCTCTCCAATTAACCACCAAACAGCTGAAAGTGGAGCTGTGGCTTGAGTTGTAAACCTCCAGCTGTGAGTAAAAAAAGCTAAGGGACAGCGCCAGTCCATGAGTTCAAACCCCAGTATCAGTACACAAAAATTTAAAAAATGTATAAAGGCTGGGTGCCGGTGGCTGACTCCTGCAATCCTAGATATTTAGGAAGCGGAGATCTGAGGATCTTTGAAGCCCACCTGGGCAGGAAAGTTTGTAAAACTCTTATCTCCAATTAACCAATTAACACAAGCCAGAAGTGGAGCTGTGGTACAAGTGGTAGAGCACTATCCTTGAGCTTTGGGGTTCAAGGACCGTGCACAGGCTCAGAGTTCAAGCCCCAGGACAGGCAATAAAAAAGGCAGGGGGCAGAGATGGGATGGTCATGAAAATGGCCAGGAATATGTTTATAAAACCCTTTGTTACTTGTAGATCACTGTCTTTATCATGGTGTGGAGTAGCAGGGAATGGGGGGTGCTTTTGGTTTGTCCCAGTGAGTTGAGGGAAAGGGGGTCTCTATATTCAAGGTCTTATCTCAGTCATTCCATGGCCAGTTTTCCTAGGCTACCTGGGCCTGGAGAGTCTGCCTCTATTTCTCCAACTAAAGTGGAGAACTCTAAGAACTCTTCTGTCAAGCACTGTTCTTGGGGACCCCTCTCTAGGCTTCTCCTTTCCCAATGTCTACAACTGTGCTGTCTTGATTTTCCAGGGAAGGATACAAATGTGCCAGCACCTGTTGCTGCCTCGGTATGTTCCAGAGAGCCGCCAGTACCTGTGCCCAAACCTCCATCCAGTGTAAGTTGCATTTGGAGTCGTGGCTGGAGGTTGCCTGACCTTCCAGTTCCTGCTGGCTGATACAAGGACCAGAAGAAAGAGGGTTGGAATCAAGACTGTACAATCTGGAGCTGGGAGTGTGGCTTAGTGGTAGAATGCTTGCCTAGCATGCATGAAGCCCTGGGTTTAATTCCCCAGTATCACATAAATAAGAAAAGTTGGAAGTGGCTCAAGTGGTAGAGTGCTGGCCTTGGGCAAAAGTAACTTAGGAACAGTGCCCAGGCCCTGAGTTCAAGCCTTAAGACTTGGGGGTGGGGGGAGAGGAGGGGAAGACTTCAATCTGGCTAGTTAGGTAACATTGAAAAAGTCAGCCTCAAGCTTTGAAAGGCTCAGTTTCCCCCTAAGACTTGTCAGAAAAACCCTGCTATGTGCAAGGATTGCTCTAATTGGCTGAGGTGTCTGATGTGAAGTGAGGAGCAGTGGCTGTCGCCAACACTCAGAAGACACACCAACTTGGTGTGGGTCACATCATCAAGATGACCCACAAACTGTGCCCTGCAGATTTGGCTTGAGACGTTTTCCATGGTTTTCTAGCACAAGCCCTCAAGCATCTTCATCCTACAGATCAGGCCTGGGGAGAGAAAGGTCTTTATCAGGGTCCTTCAGGTACCTGTGAAAATGTAGAAGGAAAGGGGGACTTGGTTAGAGCATGGCTGAGACCAGAGTTAGGGGTCATGGTGACTTTGAGGTTCAGTTGGATGCTAGAGTGGAGCTGAAACACAGTGTCTGCAGGCCAAGTTTAATGGGGAAGCTTACAGCCAGGGTAAAGTTCAGATGGACCATGGACCTCAGTTGAACAACCAGTGAATTCTACTTGGTATTGTCTTGGGGGGTAGAAAAAGGTGTGGGTTTGGTTGGCCATCTTGGGTTTGGAAAAGTCTCCATATCCGTTGAATCATCTTTGGGATTCTTTTCAACCTTTCCACTCACTCCTTTGAGCAATCTGGGACAGGGCTGGCAAGGCCAGCATAGAACCTTGTCTGATGGCAGCCCTAAGAATTGCCATCCGTGTCACCTTGAAAGAGTAGTCAGAGCCATCTGGGCCTAGGATACAGCCCTGGTGCCATCGCAGGACTTTGGATGCAGTCTTTGTTTTTCGTATTAACTAGTGTTTTCGGTCTCCACATCTGTCCCAAGGGGAGGGGATAAGGAGACCTCGTCGTCTGACTCCAAGGGGAGGGGATATGAAACTCAGACCCATTCCTTGAGTTGCTTTGAGGACTAATAGAGTTCGCGAAAACATTTGAAAAGGACCAGACCTTCAGAAAGATGCGATTCTGAAGCACTAACAGGGCAAAGTCCTTGCTCACAGATGAGTAGAGTAGCCAGGCTGGGCCGAGACCTCAGATCCCATGCGGGTTCTGGTGCCTGTCTGCAGCCTGGCTGTGTGGTCTCATGCCAGTTTCCCTGGGAGCTCAGCGGGGCTGAAATCCCGATGTGAGACAAGACCTTGACCTTCTACACCCTTGCTGCTCTCAGCAGTGGGGTGCCGGAAGGCCAGAGATACTGTTCTTGGGTCACTCCTAACTGCCTTCTGCACAGGGCACCTCCTCTGAATTTGAAGTGGTCCCCACTGAGGAGCAGAATTCTCCACCAGAGAGCGGCGGCCACCCCAGAAACACAATGGTGAGTGGCCAGGCAAACCCCTTGGGCACGTGGTACTGTCTCCTCTCGGTCTCAGCCACCTGATTCTGTATGAGAGGCCTGGGGACCCTCGGATCCCTTGGGCTCCCTGGAGTCACATGGGGACACACAGGGGCTGGAGGAGGCAGTGCTTCTCGCTCTTACATGCAAATCACTCTGGCAACTTCCCCAAGTTGGGGCACCCTACAGTTGTGACAGCTCAGGCACTTTGTCAGCCCTGTGAGTTTCTGAACAAGTCCATTCTCAGGCTATGACTCAGATTTGGGGGGGAGGGGGTCTGTGGGCTCCTAGCCATCGGGTGAGGGAAGAGAAAAGTTCCAGAGCCTCTTGCACAGGTTCTTGGCTCCTTCTAGGAGTACATAGGTTGGAGGCTAAACTTTTGCTCCTTAACACATCTGCACCCATCACGCATACAACACAAGTCTTACAGCTCTGTAGCAGTCACCCGCATCCTTATTCTGTGCCTTCTAGCACTTGCCATCATGGTTCTAACGCATCTTCCCTCTGCTCTCTTAGATGGAGAACCGCTGCAGGGTTCTTCAGAGGTCTTCAATTCTGTCTTCTCCTTCCCCGTCTCTTCCTTCTTGGAGTTTTCAATTGTTATGCCAACGCTATGTGTCCTAACCCTTCACCAACACTCCAACTCCCACAGCCTGGTTCACAGGTGGCTGTGTCCAGTGGCTGTGGTGGCTCCTTGGTTGCTGATTGCTGCTTCTGTGTCACTTCCCCTCCCAACCCCCAGCATGGGGCTGGCCAACTTGTGCAAGCATTTTAGCTTTCAGCACATAGAGGCTTACCACCACATCTGGCAGCCCTGAGTATGAGACAGGGTCTCTTGTCTCCTGGGACCTTAGTTCCCTTGTCCTGTTCTGTCCCAAGGGCTGTGAGCTGCTGGCTGAGGCGGCAAGGTCCCCTACTTGGAGCCGTTTCACTCTGACTTTGGACCAGTGCTTTTTATTTTTTTCATTTCGATCAATACTATTTTATTTTATATGATCAGATGTACATAAGCATTGCGCTCATCTTTGTGTTCCTCTCCTAATGAAGCACTACCTGAATCTCATTAGTCCTTCCTCTGCCCCCAACCCCCTTAGAGTTCCTGGTCTACACTAAGCCAGGACCAGACCACTTCCTTCTGGAAGCTTGTAGGCTAGTTGGTGAGATCTGAGGGATGGGAAGAACTTCATGAGCCTTGATTTGAGGGAGGCTGGCTGGGGACTTGAGCACAGGGGACCTGCTTTTGTAACCAGGCCAGGGAGCTGGCCAGGCCTGATAGCATCAGCAGGTACCATTGTTGGTCCGTGGACGTCGCTTGGTCATAACCAAGGCAGTGTTCTTGGTGGGAGTGCTCTATCGCATAGAGAAAGTGGGTTTGAACTTCTTTTCTTCTTCTTCTTCTTCTTTTTTTCTGGAGCTTGAACTCCAGAGCCTTGCACTCTCTCCCTCATCTTTTTCACTCGTGGCTGGTGCTCCACCGCTTCAGCGGCAGCTCACCACTTGAGCCATGCCTCCCGCCTAGGTTTTTGCCGGTTAGTTGGAGATGGAGTCTCACAGACTTTCCTGCTTAGGCTGGCTTCTAACAGCAATCTTCCAGGTCTCAGCCTCCTAGGATTACAGGTGTGAGCCACTGACACTGGGTTTGTTCCATTTCTTAGATGGTTTACTAGGCTGGAATTCTCCACAGTATCTAGAGCTATGATTCTTAACCTGATTTTGGGGAGGGGGGTCTTGGTGCTTCGAGAAGCGGTTGAATGTTTGGACCTGAAAGAATCCTTCAGGACCAGCTCAGGGGACTACATGGATGCAGGCAAGGCACAGGAGAAACATTATTGTAAGATTTATTAGAGGGCCCCTATCTCCCCGGGAGAGGGAGCATATGGTGTCTGCCCCTATACAAGTGGGGGAAATGAGGTCTGAAGTGAGGTAAAATGAGTGAGTGGGTGGGTCTGGGCAGAGAGAGGGAGTGGCCAGCTGTAAGGCAGGAACTCCAGGGCTGGGAGGAGCTCAGGTCTGGGTGGAGCTGAGGACCAAAGGTACGGATAATACTTACAGGACCATTTTCTATCAGATAATCCATGAGGTCATGAATGGATCCTTCCCTAGTTGTCTCCCTGAGCTAAGGAAGCAGGGACTATAGGGTTATTCTCTCTGTCTCTGTGTCTGTCTCTCTCCCTGGTCTTTTCTCTAGGATTGCTTCTCTTTCAGCTTCATTCCTCCTATGAGAGCCCTATGAGGGAGAAGAACAGGAAAGTCTGTGTGTACATGCTGTGGATGAGGGTGCTAAGGCCCAAGGAAAGTCCGGTTGACCCGGGCTAGAATATGGGCTGAAGGTGGCCCTGGATGCTGCTCAGCTGGCTGTTGATTGGCCTAGGAGTCCTAGATCCTCCCCTATGAGTCAGCCCCAGACAAAGGAGCCTGTGTAACTCCAGAATTTCCCTGGGTTTAGCTGAGGCCCCAGGGGGGAAACTGAGTCATGGGGCATGCAGAAGCAGTGGGAGAGCTGGCTGGCATTACCTGTTCAGGCCTCACTGAAGAGTGGTCCTCCTCATCTTCTCCCTGCCAGGAGCTGGGCTCCCTGCCCCATGAGGACAGCAACCTGATGCTCCATCTGCAACGCCTGGAGAACACCCTGAGTGTGTGTGCCGAGGAGCCTGACCACAGCCAGCTCTTCACCCACTTGGGCCGCATGGCTCTCGAGTTCAACCGGCTGGCCTCCAAAGTGCACAAGAATGAGCAGCGCACCTCCATCCTCCAGGTGAGGCCGGCAGGGAGGGCTTGGCGATCAGGCACTGGGCCTCCGAGGGCTGGATGGCAAGTGCACTTTGGGCTTCTTCCTACAGCGGTGAACAGAGTTAGGAAGTTGGGAAGATATGAGGAAGAGGAAGGAAATGGGGAAATGGAGAGTGGGGAGTGTAAATTCTTGACTAGGGGATTCCTAGGGGTGTGGATGTGGTACTTTGAGCATGGTCCTTTCTTTGTTCTTCTTGGGGTGGGAGCTCCTTACGTATTCTATCCCTAACGTAGACTCGATCAATATTCCCACTTCCTAGGTGAGGAAACCAAAAGGAATGACCTTTTTATTTTAAACCCAAGGTCACCCAGCTGTTAAATGGTAGACCTGGAATCAGAACCCATGCTCATTTTTGTTGGTTGTGGAGCTTGAACTCTGGGCCTGAATACTGTCCCTGAGCTCTTCAGCTCAAGGCTAGCGCTCTACCACTTGAGCCACAGCGCCACTTCTAGTTTTCTGGTAGTTAATTGAGGAGTCTCACAGACTTTCCTGTCCGGGCTGGCTTTGAACCGTGATCCTCAAATCTCAGCCTCCTGAGTAGCTAGGATGACAGGTGTGAGCTACTGGTACCCAGCTTGAACCCATGCTCTTAACCACAATCCCAGCCTACTCTAGGGAAATTCCTTTTAAAGACCTCACTCCCCATGCTCAGGGAATGAGGTGGCATTCTGTCCATTAGGGACCAGGAGCAGGACATTGTGTTCTATGGAGGCCCCACCCAGGACTGTGACACCTTGAGCATTTGCACAGTCATTAGATAGAGGTAGATGGATTCAGTTCCTCCTCATTCATTCATTAACTTGTTTCTTGGTTCACTCAGCATTCATTTTCAGTGCTAGGCATTGAGGGAACCTCAGACCCTAGGCTGTCCTACCACCCTCCTGTGCAAGACTTTCCCTCCATTCCGCACCCCCAGGACTCTTGTATTAGTCAGAAAGGAAACGCACACATCCTGGAATCTCCCTGGATGACATCCATCCACCTTCCTCTTCTGTGCAGCACAGAGTCACTACTGTTCCACACAAACTCAGGCTTTGGATCTCTGCCCCCTTCATTGAGCACCGGGGTCCACATTAGCCCCTACTCAAGGGAGAGACGGGACTGTGCACAGACCTGACACATGTCCACATTCCATTGCAGGCACCCAGGAAGTGGGAGCCACTGGGCTGTTCTGTGAGAATCTCTGTCTCCATTTCCCATCTCTGTCTCTCCTTTGAGCTCTACCATTGTTCTCTGCTCTTTGATCTCAGAGGAAAGATACCAGTTGAGGAGTCTAATCCAAGTGGTAGTGTAACTCATGCAAATTACTGAACCTCAGTTTCCCTGCATTTTGGGGTTTTTTTTGTTGGTGGTGTTTTTTTGTTTGTTTGTTTTTTGGCCGGTTGTGAGGCTTGAACTCTGGGCCTGGGCGCTGTCCTTCAGCTCAAGGCAAGTGCTCTACCCCTTCAGCCACAGAGCTACTTCCAGTTTTCTGGTGGTTAATTGAAGATAAGAGTCTCACAGACTTTACTGCCCGGGCTACCTTTGAACCGGATCCTCAGATCCTCCTGAGTTAGCTAGGGTTACAGTCATGAGCCACTGGCGCCCCACAAGTGATTTATTTTATTTTATTTTTATTTTTTTGCTCCCAGTCCTGGGGCTTGAACTCAGGGCCTGGGCACTGTCCCTAAGGTGCTTTTGCTCAAGGCTAGCACTCTACCACTTGAGCCACAGCGCCACAGCACCACTTCTGTTTATGTGGTACTGAGGAATCGAACTCAGGGCTTCATGCGTGCTAGGCAAGCGCTCTACCACTCAGCCACATTCCCAGCCCTCTCTACTTCTAAAATAGAGATAAGTTACTCAGCTTTGGGGCAGCTGACTCACAGTGTTAGGACAAGCACCAGTGCAAGACTGGCACTCCTTAGGTTCTCAGTGGACATTTGGTGATAGGTTGAGCTGTTCTCTCCAACCCTGCGCACCCTCATGGCGGGCAGCACCTTGCCCTCCCCACCCACCTGGGAGGCCCCAGGGCTAGCCAGCCACTACTGCATGGTTCTCCATCAAGTGATCAGTATGCCTGGGACACAGCAGCCCCAAAAGAAGGTAGAGATGGAACACTCATCCCCATTTTGTAGAGGAAGGGACAAGTGTTGGAAATGCAGTATGAGCCATGCTGGGAGGGTGCTCTGTCTCCTGACTCACCTGTGACCGCACTGGAAGTGTCTGCACACTGGAAGTGTCCTCACACTTCCAGGGACTCGCATGTTTGTCTGTCCATTCGTTCATTTATTCAGCCACTCAGTCTTGTGGTGCTTTGACTAAGTTGAGCTCAGGGCCGGTTACCTGGCAGTGAATGAGAGTGGGGGTGGGAAGGTCCAGCCCTCCTGGGAGCTCACAGACCACTGCAGGGGAGGGGCTGGACTTTAAGAAAATAATGACCATCTTCATTTGGCTTTATGTATGACAAGTACTCATAAAAGTAAAAGCAGAGGACTTGGAGCGAGATAAATGGCGGTAACTTGACAGCGGGATGTGGGAGTTGTTTTCTGTGGAGACCTTGTTTGAATACCCCTAAAGGAGAGGCCAGCCAGAGTGGTGAAGGGGAGAAAGTGGGGAGATCTGATAGGGAGGACCAGAGGCCTCGACTGACCCTTGCACAGGCATCCTCATAACTGGCCCCTAAGGGATGCCCGAAGGATCCTAGATGGTGCTGGTGGTCTGGATGCCACCTACCTTCATGATCTGACATTGGAGACCTCCAGTCTCTCTCTCTCTCTCTTTATTTATTTATTTTTTGGTCGGTCAGGGGGCTTGAACTGTGGGCTTGGGCGCTGTCCCTGCACTCTTCAGCTCAAGGCGAGTGCTCTACCGCTTGAGCCACAATGCCACTTCCGGTTTTCTAGTGGTTTATTGGAGATAAGAGTCTCAGGGACTTTCCTGCCCAGGCTGGCTCTGAACCATGATCCTCAGTTCTCAGCCTTCTCAGTAGCTAGGATTACAGGTGTGAGCCACCGGCACCCGGCCCTCCAGTCTCTCTTATCCCCCTGTGTCAGCCTGTATTAGGATGTACCCCCTCCTTAACCCTCCCTTCCCATCCACCTGTCTTCCCCACAGACCTTATGTGAACAGCTTCGCAAGGAGAATGAGGCCCTAAAGGCCAAGCTTGACAAGGGCCTGGAACAGCGGGAGCAGGCTGCAGAAAGGCTGCGGTAAGCCCAGGCCCCAGGAGCAGGGTGGGCAGAAGGAGTTGATGCCTTCCACTGATTCTAAGGATGAGGATTCAGGGCCTCAAAAACTTCATGCTCAGAGCTCTGCTTGGATAAATGCAGATCTCTTGGTCTTTTCTAGCTCCGTTGGTAATTTCTCCTGGGCCCTTTGATTACCTGGGAGAGTAGAGAAGGTGGGTACAAACTGCCCCCACCCCCAGACCCACTCCCTAGCTTGCTGACTGTCCTCTGGCTGGCTGTTTGGGAGAGGGTCACGACTCTTCTGTCCCTGCTAGCCACTGTTGTGCCATCCCTTGTCTGGACTAGTCAGTGGGTCTCGGGCCTAGCTGAGGATGTGGACGAAGGGCTAGCCCTCCTGTCTCAACGTTGAGGTGGTGGTCTAAGGTGAGATGCGGGGTCTACATTTCAGCAGAGATCACACCTGACCTTGACTGTCAGAACTCAGAGCACCCTCTGTGATCATGGGGGCCCAACCCCTCAGCATATGAGGGGAGACTAGGTCTCAGAAAGGTGCAGGGACTCCCAATGGGAACCTGAGTCTCCTTGCTCTGCAAACTGTTACGGTGTCCATGATTTCTGCCTGTGCTCTGGGTAATGTCTTGGGTAATATGCTGGATTATATTAGGCACCAACTGAGCTCAGTCCATGTAGGAGACATCTGTACCACAGCAAGGACTTTCCCTCCTAAAGTCAGTCAACAAACAGAAGTAATACAGACTTCAATGTGGCCACATAATGGTGAAGTACTGAGCCACTGTCATTTCTAATCAGCGTGCTTTTATTTACTTTCGGATGGCCTAAACAGTTGAGGTTTTATGCCACATTGACTCCATCCAGGAGTATGAAACCCCAGCCTGGAAGAGAGAGATGTATTAGAAGGAAGAATGTGTGGCCTGGGGAAACAACTTCACTTCTTGGTGTTGCTAATGAGTAGGAACCCAGATGGTGAAGCGAACCTGAACTGCTGTGTTCTTTATTTCCCTGAATCCCAATCACTTTCATTCTTTCCTGTTATCTCCTGCCTTATTGTATACACAAGGTTTTACTTTAATTCATCTTTCTACTTGAAATTACTGTAAAGGAGCTAGTCGCTAGTGGCTATAAGATCTGAGGATTGCTGGGTGCCAGTGGCTCACGCCACTGAGAGGCTGAGATCTGAGGATCACAGTTCAAAGCCAGTCCAGGCAAGAATGTCTGTGAGACTCTAATCTTCAATATCACTAGAAAACCGGAAGTGACACTGTGTCTCAAGTGGTAGACCACTTGCCTTGAGCTGAAGAGCTGAGGGTCAGCGCCCAGGCCCAGAGTTTAAGCCCCACAACTGACAAAAAAAAAAAAAAGATCTGAGAGTTGTACTTCAAAGCCAGGCTGGGCAGGAAAGTCCATGAGACTCTTTATATCCAATTAATCACTGAAAAAGCTGGAAATAGAATGGTAGCGCAAGTGGTAGAGTGCTAGTCTTGAGCAACAGTTTCTTAGGGACAGTGTCCAGAACCAGCAAAAATAAATTAACTAACTAAAAAATATATGTACATACATATATATATATATATATGTATATATATATATATATATATAAAGTAAAGGAAACTTTAACTGGAGTAAATGGAATCCATCCTTACCTATTCTAAATGTACAGTGAAACTGAAAGCAAATTAACAGGCAATGGTAAAGGACCATGGCCACCATAGTCTCTGAGCCTCCAGCTGGCTCCTTCTGTTCCCCTGCTCCATCAAGGCCATTTGGAGGTAACTGGTGGAGCTTTCTCACTGGTAAGGGGTGGGTTATTGAATGCAGACTTCGAGTATATCCTGAAGATCTCGTGTATATAAGCAGCCCACTGGAGACAGCCTGCCATTGAGGATTAGAGACTGTCAGGGTAGCTCGCACCTAGCACTGGGTTCTACCAAAGTCACATGCCTGGGTTGAGGCTTCCCTGGCCGGTGAGCTAGACACACTGTGACTCCTCTGTTTGTCTCCACCACAGGGAAGAAAATATGGAGCTCAAGAAGTTGTTGATGAGCAGCAGCAACAAAGAGGGTGCCTCTGGGCACCCAGGCTCCCCAAAGATAGAGGGTGCCAACAAGAAGGGAGTGTCTGGACAGCAGCAGGTATGTGATCAGAAATCCCTTCTGTAGCATCTCAGACCTTAGTGTCTGTTCACCACCTCCAGAAACAACAGGCTTGCACTTCTGCACACCATTAAACTGGTAGAAGGTTCTGTCTCGTTGGTAGATGGTGGTTACATGGTTTGATCTACAATATATGCCTTCCTAGCGTGTCCATTCCTTAGGATTCTTTTCTACCTTCAGCCCCACAGACCTTCCCATTCTCTGGGATGCTGCCCAGAACTGCTTGAGTTACAGGCTCCATAACCCCATAGGCCAACTCCTAAAAGTCAAATATAGGGGACAGAACTGGGATCCTGCTGAGTTCCTACAATCCTGTGCCATAGAGCCCCAGAGATGGAGAGAAGATGGCGTCACCGCATCCGTGTGGCCTGGTCATGCCACAGGCTGTTCCCTTTTCCCCTCCTACCTCCAGGCCCCACTCTGGTGCACAACTAGGTCCCAAGAGCCCCGACCTTCTCTTCACCCCTGTCCCCCGAGTCTCACCTCTATCATATGGTTGTTGTTTTCCCTTAAATGGGGTTTAGTAGCTGCACTGTAGGGCTCAATGATAATCTTGCATGTATATAGTAGTAGAAGTAATTATCTTAATAGCTTAATTCAAAGCCATGATCTCATTTGGGCCTCCTTTTACTAAATGGTAGGCAGGGCTAGGATGACTCCTGTATTTTCAGTAGCAGCAGAAGGGTCATCATGCAGTCAGGATCTCTGTGTCATCTGCTATCAAGGAGAAGTGGGAAACATGCCCCATGGCCAAGGTCTGTTCATTATGGCTCCCCCTGTGACAGGGCTGAGACCTTAGTCAAGTTACATAAACTCTGGACCTAGACTTCCTCTTCATCCTCTAAGATGGTAATACACCTTCAGGAATATTTGCGAGAATTCATTGATATAGTACATATAGAGTGGCTTATTGGGTTGGGAAGGTGGCTCAGTGGTAGATGCTTGCCTTGCATGCATGAGGCCCTGGGTTCGATTCCTCAGCACCACATAAGCAAAAAAGAAAAAAGCCGGAAGTGGCGCTGTAGCTAAAGTGGTAGAGCGCTCGCCTTGAGCTGAAGAGCTGAGGGACAGCGCCCAGGCCCAGAGTTCAGGCCCCACAACCAACCAAAACATTAAAAAAAAAAAGTAGCTTATTTACTATAATAAATGGTGAATATTAATTGCTGTCTATGTGTGTGTATGAGAGTATGCAAGCATGTACACCAGTCCTGGGGCTTGAACTCAGGGCCTGGGCACTGTTCCTGAGTTTTCTTGCTCAAGGCTAGCATTTTACCAATTGAGCCACAGCTCCACTTCTGCCTTGTTGGTGGTTAATCAGAAATAAGAGTTGCATGGATTCGGTCTACTTGAACTGGCATTGAACTGTGATTGTTGTATGTTAGCTTCCTGATTAGCTAATACTGAGGTATGAGCCACTGATGCTTGGCTTAGCTGCTGCTTTTTAAGGTAGATTTGAGACCAGCACCTGGGTCTGCCAACTGTGTGGCTGGCTGTATTTACTTCTCCACAGATTCCTCGGTCTCTGAAGATACGGGGTTCATCACCCAGGGTCTCAGCATCCTCCTCCTTCTCCCTTTCTTGAGCTGTTATCCTTCTCAGCTATGCATAGTTTTGGTCCAAGAGTCCGCAGGCTCCCAGGGGGCAGGCCTGTCTGTCCCTTCTCAAAGGAAGCAGCCTTACCCTGTATGCCCTGACCTCTAGCATCATAGGTGTGCTTACAGGCGTCAGCCTGTAGAGGGCACTTGAGCCTAACAAGTTCTGCCTCTACACCTCACCCCAAGCCTAGAGGGGAGATGTGAAGGAGGACTAAAAGGGAGTAGAGAGAAGGTGAGAACAGAGATACAGGATCAGAGGGTGATATATATATATATAATGACATATATAGAATCAGAGGGTGGCCTCCAGTATCAAAGGTCCCCCATGCAAGTGCAGAAACCACCAGCCTCTGATTCATGTTTACATCTTGAGGCCCAGAGAGATGAAAGTCCTGGTCTGGCTAGCATCCCAGAAGGGTAAAGATAAGAGCCAGTGTTCAATTCCACACTCCTAGACTGTTCCAATGTGCTACCTCAGCACCTTTTTTTTAAAATAAGTTTTTATTGTGAAAATACTGTACAGGGAGGTTACAATCACATGAGCAAGGTAATGAGTACATTTCTTACCAAGCCCCCCTCCCCGCCTAAATTGTAAAGTTCATTTTTTGACATAACTTTGCAGTGGGTCAACTTGTATCCCTATTTAAACAATTTGTTTTTTCCCCTTCCCCTCCTCAAATTATACCAACATCAAATACAATGAAAACGGGTTATACCATGGGGGAGGGACATACAAAGCAACAACAAAAAAAATCACATGGTACCTTATAAATACATTAGAAACAATAGCAAGAAAGAAAAAAAAAACACTTGTGTCCTTATCTTGGGGTTCATTTCGCTTAACATCATCTTATCTGACCTTTTCTGCTTGTCTCAGACATATACTAGTTATTGCAAATAAGGGAAACCATGGGACCTATGTTTCTTTGGGCCTGGCTTTCTTCACTTAGTATAATTTTTTTCTAAGCCTTTCCATTTCCTAACAAATGGGGCAATGTCATTCTTTCTGATGGAGGCACAGAATTCCATTGTGTATATATATCATATTTTCTTGATCCATTCATCTACTGAGGGACATCTGGGTTGGTTTCATATCTTAGCTATGGTAAATAATGCTGCAGTAAACATAGTTGTGCTGGTAGCTTTAGTATGGTCTTGTTTGTGATCATTTGGGTAAATGCCCAAAAGTGGGATTGCTGGGTCATAGGGGAGCTCTATGTGGAGTCTTTTGAGGAACCTCCATACTACTTTCCAAAGTGGTTGAACAAGTTTACACTCCCACCAACAATTCAGTAGGGTTCCCTTCTGTCCACATCCCCTCCAGCATCTGTTGTTGTTAGAGTTCTTGATTATAGCCATTCTAACTGGGATGACACTTCTTTTTTTTTTTTTCTTTTTTCTTTTTGTTGGTTATGGGGCTTGAACTCTGGGCCTGGGTAGCTCAAGGCGAGCGCTCGACCACTTGAGCCACAGCGCCACTTCCAGTTTTCTGGTTAATTAGAGATCAGTCTCAAGGACGTTCCTTCCCAGTCTGTCTATGAACCATGAGCCTCAGAGCTCAGCTGAGAAGCTAGGATTACAGGTGTGAGCCACTTAATGCCTTGCTGGTGAGACTCTCATCTCCAATTAACCACCAGAAAAACCAGAAGTGGCGCTGTAGCTCAAGTGGTAGAGCGCTAGCCTTGAGCTGAAGAGCTGAGGGACAGCGCCCAGGCCCAGAATTCAAGCCCCACGACAAACAAAAAATAAAAAAAGAATGGGAGGAAAAGGCCAGGTGCCAATGGCTCATGCTTGTAGACCTAGCTACTCAGGAGGCTGAGATTTGAGGATCATGGTTCCAAGTCAGCCTGAGCAGGAAAGTTTGTGAGATTATCTCCAATAAACTTCCAAAAAGCCACAAGCGGGGCTGTGGCTCAAGTGGTAGAATGTTAGTCTTGAATGCAAAAGCTAGAGACAGTACCCGAGCAAGTCCTGGGACCAATGCACACACACACACACACAAAGGCTGGGAGGAAATGTTTATGCAAAGCATTGGATGAGACCCTCTGTGTTTCTCCCCAGGCTAGTGTAATGGCAGGGAAGGTTCCAGAAGTGGTGGCCTTGGGTGCAGCTGAGAAGAAAGTGAAGATCCTGGAGCAGCAGCGCATGGAGGTAGAGGGCTTGAAGGGGTGAACAGGGAAGACCTATGATTAGTGTTCTGTTAGAACTTAAGAGAATACAGTATACCTTAATGCTTGTTTATTGGTGTAGGTGATAGTAGGGTTTGAACTCAGGATTTTGCACTTGCTATGCAGGCACACTGCTGATGAGCCCATTTTGCTGTTTGGTTTTTTTATTTTTATTTTGTTTTTTGTTTTTTTGGGTCCGGTCATGGGGCCTGGGCCTGGGCGCTGTCCCTCAGCTCTTCAGCTCAAGGCTAGCGCTCTACCACTTGAGCCACAGCGCCACTTCCGGCTTTTTTCTTTTTGCTTATGTGGTGCTGAGGAATCGAACCCAGGGCCTCAGGCATGCAAGGCAAGCGCTCTACCACTGAGCCACCTTCCCAGCCCTGTTTGGTTTTTTTAATGAAAGAGAAAAGCCATGCACCAGTGGCTCACATCTGTAATCCTAGCTACTCAGGAGGCTGAGATCTGAGGATCATTGTTCAATGCCAGCCCAGGCAGGAAAGTTTATGAGACTCTTACTTCCAATTAACCACAAAAAGTTAAAAGTGGAGCTGTGGTCCAAGTGGTAGAGCACTAGCCCTTGAGCACAAAGAAAGTTCTTTATGTATGGTGTATTCATATGTATATTTTTGGGAGGTGGGGGAGGATACAGTACTTGAGGGTCAAAAGGTAAAAAAGTGCAGCAATGGAGCTCACTGGACACTGATGAAAGTAAACTATACAACTCATGATTGGAGACTGGAGGGAGAGACTGGGAGAGAATGAGAGAATAGAAGACACTGTACAAAAGGAAATGAGGGCTGGGAATATGGCTTAGTGGTAGAGTGCTTGCCTGAAGTGCTTGCATGAAGCCCTAGCTAGGTTTGATTCCTTAGTACCACATAAACAGAAAAACCCAGAAGTGGTGCTGTGGAGTGCTACCCTTGAGTAAAAGCAGCTCAGGGACAGTGCCCAGGCTCTGAGTTCAAGCCCCAGTGCCAGCAAACAATAAAAATTAGAACAGTAACTTTTTTTTGTCGGTCATGGGGCTTGAACTCTGGGCCTGGGCGCTGTCCCTCAGCTCTTCAGCTCAAGGCTAGCGCTCTACCACTTGAGCCACAGCACCACTTCCGGCTTTTTTTCTTTTTGCTTATGTGGTGCTGGGGAATCGAACCCAGGGCCTCATGCATGCAAGGCAAACACTCTACCACTGAGCCACCTTCCCAGCCCCCTGCTCCCCTTTTAAGCCCAGCCTCTCCCCACAGCTGCTGGAAGTGAACAAGCAGTGGGACCATCATTTCCGATCCATGAAGCAGCAGTATGAACAGAAGGTAAGGGCTCAGGAATACCCAGTTTTCATCTTGCCACTTCCTTCTCAGCAGCTTTGAGCCTTAGAGGGGACTGAGCTGAGCCCACCCCCCTCCCCGCCCCAACCCCTCATGGCTAGGAGGAGAAGCTGGGCGACAGGGTGGGGGTGGGGTGGGGTGCTGCTACACTCTGCCATTGCTCATACCGGCCTCTGCCCTCAACCCAGATCACTGAGCTGCGTCAGAAGCTGGTGGACCTGCAGAAGCAGGTGACTGACCTGGAGGCGGAGCGGGAGCAGAAGCAGCGTGACTTTGACCGCAAGCTCCTCCTGGCCAAATCCAAGATCGAAATGGAGGAGGCAAGTGAGATGCTGACGCTGTGGGTCCAGGTTCCTCTCCCTGGGTAGCCAAGAGTGCATGCCATCCATGAGCAAGGGATGGAGTTGAAGGGTTCTAGACACAGGGCCAAGGGCTGTGTGGCTCCAGACAAAGGCACTTGCCCTCCCTGAGCCTCAGTTTCCTTCCTGAAAATGGAGGAGGTTAGGTTAGCTCCTGCTAATCCTAGTTACTTGGGGTTGAAGATCACAGTCAGATCCAGTCAGGGTGAGACTCTTTATCTCCAATAAACTGTAAAAAAGCTGGAAGTGGTACTATGACTCAAGTGGTAAAGTGCTAGCCTTGAGCAAAAAGAAGCTCAGGGACAGTACTCAGGCCCCAAGTTCAAGCCCCAGGACCAGCATGCGTGCATACACATGTGTGCACACCACCCAGACACACAGGAACCAAGCAGAGAAGCAGATAATATGAAAGATACAAGCTGGGCACTGTGGCTCACACCTGTAATCCTAGCTACCCAGGAGGCTGAGATCTGAAGATAGCAATTTGAAGCCAGTCCGGGCAAGAAAGGCATGAGAGTCTTCAGTTAATCAGCAAGAAGCCAGAAGTACAGCTGTTGCTCAAGTGGTAGAGCACTAGCCTTGAGCAACAAGGAAGACACAAAGCTACGCACTGGTGGCTCACGCCTGTAATCCTAGCTACTCAGGTGGCTGAGATCTGAGGATCGCCATTCAAAGCCAGCCGAGGCAGGAAAGTCCATGAGACTCTTACCTCAATAAACTGCCAGCAAACGGGAAGTGGTGCTGTGGCTCAAGTGCTAGAGCACTTGCCTTGAGCTGAAGAGCTGAGGGACAGTACTAAGGCCCAGTGTTCGAGCCCCATGACCAAAAAGGAAAGACACCGCAGGCTTAGGCTGATGCTCAGTGCTCAGAGTAGTGATTGTATTTTGTAGGCAAGAGGCTGAAGCAGACAAAATTTCATTTATTTATCTTCTCAGCATTTCCCCTCAGAGCGTGTCCCAGGTACTGTGCTAGGCATCAGATTGAGCATGGACTGGCCAGCCTTACCTTTGTCAGGGAATGTATGCCACATGACTAGGTAAAAGCAAACACAGAAAAGTGGGTTACTACTGCAAGGAAAAAAAGCTGCAGAAAAGAGAGAGTGGGCCGGTGGGGGCCAAGTCATGTGGTGGGAAGCAGGAGCAAGTCCTTGAAGAAATGACATCTATTCTATACATGTCACTGGTGCTATTCAGAGCTCTTCCGAGTCCTAGGACAGCTAAAAGAAGAAAGGCCAAGGCTGGGAATGTGGTTTAGAGTGCTTGCCTAGCATGCATGAAGCCCTGGGTTCGATTCTTCAATACCACATACACAGAAAAAGCCGAAAGTGGTGCTGTGGCTCAAGTGCTCGAGTGCTAGCCTTAAGCAAGAGAAGCTCAGGGACAATGCCCAGGCAGGTCCTGAGTTCAAGCCCCAAGACTGGCCAAAAAAAAAGCTCAACTGGATGTATTGGCGAATACCTATAATCCCAGTACTCAGAGGCTGAAACGGGAGGATCATGAGTTTGAGGCCAGCCTGAACTACATAGTGAGACTTTATCTCACTTAAAACGGGAGGTGCGTGTGACTCCCAGACTCCGGGGACTTTATTCCCAGTGCCTTTGTGAGAAGTGGGAATGGGCTTTGCCTGGCCTAAGGAAGGCCTTCTCACTGTGGATTGGGTGTGGAAGTTCTTCCTTAGGTTGTGACTCTCCAGGTCCTCCTCTAAGGATTAGCCCGGGAGAAGGAGGTCACTGCCAGTGTTTTCCCTGGTAGGACAGAGCATTTGGGGCACACAGCTGGCCCTGGTCCCTGCTCCCCCTCACTTGAGCAGATGAGGCAATCCTTGGGATCTGGGTTCTTGCATGTATGCTGGGGGAGGTGGGTCATGTCCTGTAGATCAGGACGCAGGCAAGTGAGGTAGTGCTTTATTCTGGAGCCCTTCAATGGGAAATCAGGACAGACTGTTCTCACCAAGGCTACCCTGAGCCTTCTCTGTTGGACACAGCTCACTGCTGGTTTGGACAGTGTGCACTTAAAGGTCATACAGAGCCAGGTGGACCCTGATCCTGTGGTCTGTCTTCTAATCCGCATGAATCCATGTGATGGGACTGTGAAACGTTCGCCCCTCCCCAGCCTCCTCCCGCAGGTCACCACGGTGGTCAGTTTCCTCTCTCTGGGCCTTCTTTCATTTGTGCACAGAGAAACTGTCTTTTTTGGGTGTGTCCTATCTTTGCTGTGCGCCATGCTGCCCCACCACTTGGGCGGGAGAGGAGTGCAGCTAGGAACAGGGGTTCTGGCCTTGGCTGAGCCGTTTCCCCTCTGGACATGTCCCCATCCCGTTGTATAAAGTGGCTAGGACTCGCTGCCCTGCTGCGTTCCCCAGTGCTTCTGCCATGTGCTGCATTTGCGTCTGTCTTTTTTATATTTTTGAGGTGGGACTAGGTATTAACTGAAAATCTGAAGCTCTATCACTTAAGCATGCCCCAGTTCTTTTGTTCTTGAGATAGAGTCTTGCATTAACTCTGCCTAGGTTAGCTTCGATCCTCTTGTCTCCAGGTAGCTGGTGTTACAGGGGTGCACCATCATGCCCAGCCACATTTATCTCTTTGAGCATTCTCCCTTTTGTAGACACAGAGACTATAAGAGGACCTGTAGAGGTTCCCACGATTCATCACTCTCTATGAATCACAGAAGACCCCTCTGTCAATCTGGTTAGAAACTATGCCTTTCTCCTCAGAAAATTGACACATATAATATTTTACAGTCAGTTTTAGGGTTCACATTGACATGAGTCTTCCCTATGACTCATATTAAGAACCTCCTTAAACCCTGGCATTTAGAAAGACTAGACCAGATGGCTAGGGGAATGCCTCGGGTCTCTGCTGGTCTCTGCTTGTTCTGGTGTCAGAATCCAGGACCCATCTGGCAGGCAGGCAGGCAGGCAGGCAGGCAGGCAGGCAGGCAGGCATCACTGCTGCCCCCAGGTGCCTTCGGTGAGTACTGCAACGTGGCCGTGGGAGAGGGAGTAGAGGAGAGTAGGCATGAGTGAGCAAGGCTGGGGCAGGCCGCACGGGAGCTCCCAGTTCACTCTCAGGCTCCTGGAGAGGCTCCCTGCTAACCAACCCTGTGCTCCCGGCAGACAAACAAGGAGCAGCTGACGGCAGAGGCCCAGGAGCTGCAGCAGCGGGTCAAGTACCTGCAGGACCAACTAGGCCCACTCACCCGGCAGCGCGAGTACCACGAAAAGGAGATCCAGCGGCTGAACAAGGTGGGTGTCTTGGCCCTGGTCCCCTGAATGGAGAAGGCTGCCCTGAGCCCAGATGCCAGACCCACTCCATTGCCTGAGCCCCCAGCTCAGGAGGGTGACCACAGTTTCCACCCCCTCTGCCCGTCCTTCCCACATTGGGAAGTACGCATGCTCACTAGCATGTACCCTATGCCTTCCTCATTGCTGGCACCGAGTGTGTGTTCAGGACTGCTCACTGGAGGGAGAGGATGAGTTTTCTCAGCCCTATGAAGTAGGGTCCAGGAGGCGGGGCACTCCAAGTGGAGGCTGATAAAGCAGAAACCTTCTGGCCTGAGCCAGGGTGGGTAGCAATATGGCCGCCATGTCGCAAGGTGGCTCTAGTTCTGATTCAGCTTCTCTGTGTTTAGATGAGTTAAGCTGAGCCTCCCAGAGCCTCATGGTGCTGCCCGCAGGCTGATTAGCATCATCACAGCGCAGCTCACCTTCCTTTGTGGGTCTGGGAGGAGCCAGCATGACAGAGCTGGGAGAGGAAGTGTTTTGTTCTCCACAGGCCTGGGGAGTTGTGCGCTTACTGCTCAGTCTATCCTTTGGCTGTTTCTCCTTCCTCTGCCTCCTGGTTATCACCCTGCTAGGACAACCCTCTAACCATGGTTATTGCTCTTTTAGAACCATTGGCTCTGTCACATGAAGAGCCAAGGGATTTGGAGGTCTAAATGCAGGCATAATCTCCCCATATTGCTGTCCTGCCACTGGAAGGACAGGCTTGTAGATTGTCTTAGCAGAATTGAGGATAGACCTGGTGCTAGTTCCTCACGCCTGTAATCCTAGCTACTCTAGAAGCTGAGATCTGAGGATCACAGCTTGAAGCCAGCCTGGACAGAAAAATCTGAGACATTCTATCTCTAATTAATCAGCAAAAAACAATAAACAGAAGTAGAGGTGTGGCTCAAATGGTAGACCCTCCAGCCTTGAGAAGAAAAGCCAAGTGAGAGAATGAGGCCTAGCACCAACACACACACACACACACACACAGGACAGAGCCATCTGTGTATATGAGTCATGCAAGGCATGACCACACACACACACACACACACACACACACACACACGCCCGTCTCTTGCCTGAGGCTGGACCTCAATCTATGCATCCTGAAAATGGAAGAAAATGGAGGACTTGGCTGGGACTGTGGCTCAGTGGCAGAGTTCCTGCCTAGCATGCATGAAGCCCTGGGTTTGATTCCTCAGTACCACATACACAGAAAAAGCCAGGAGTGGCACTGTTGCTCACATAGTAGAGTGCTAGACTTGAGCAAAAAGAAGCTCAGAGACAGCGCTCAGGCCCTGAGTTCAACCCCCACAACTGGCAAAAAAAAAAAAATGCAGGGGGTGAAGTAGGAGAGGAAAGAAGAGGGCTCCTTTTTCTCAGAGCATCCTGAATGTATTCCTGGTTCAGTGTTCTCCTCAGGCCTGAGTCTACATTGAAGAAAATCTCTGTTTGCCCATAGTCCTGGGAGTCCTGCTATCGAAGGGCTGAAGTCCAGGTGCAGATGAAGGGTGAACAGCCTGAGAGGCGTCAGGAGTTGTAACAAGCCAACAGCTCCTCTTCTGGTTTTCTAGTGGTTAATTGGAGATAAGAGTCTCATGGACTTTCCTACCTGGGCTGGCTTTGAACCATGATTTTCAGATTCAGCCTCCTGAGTAGCTAGGCTTACAGGCGTGATTATTTTCGTGGTCTCATTATTGATGTTTCAGCTCATGAAACTAAGGAGGAGCAGGTTGGGGGAAGCGGGGCACGCAGGGCGCCCTGGTGTTGGGGGAAGGGATGCTGAGGTTCTTCCTAGCCCTGTACTAAGAATTGATCCACACCTATTTATAGAAAGAGATCCCCTCCTACCTGAGGACCCCAGTTAAGATCCTAGACTGGGTTGCAGTCCCTGTGTTGCCCCTTACTAGCTGTGTGACCTGGGGCAAGTCACTGAGGTCTCTGAGCCTCAGTTTTCACAACTGTAAAATGGGACCGTGATCCTAGTCTTTCTTCATGGGGTGGTGATGAGGCTTCCTTGAAGTGCTAGGTACACCGTGTTACCGATCAGGAGATCATTTTTTGCATGGTACTGGTGGTGTGATTTTTATCCAGAAGAGGGGCCTGACTTCCAGGGCTGATGGTCCTGTCTCTTCCCTAACCCCAGGCCCTGGAGGAAGCTCTGAGCATCCAGGCCTCCCCTTCATCTCCCTCAGCGTTTGGGAGCCCTGAAGGAGCTGGAGCCCTCCTGAGGAAGCAGGAACTGGTCACACAGAATGAGCTGCTGAAACAGCAGGTGAGGATTCTGGGAGGCTGGGCCCAGATGGGTTTGGCGTCACGTGACCCTAGCTGTGGGCCTGGGCCCCTGCGTGCTTACCAGTTTAGCTTTTCCAGCTGCATGTCCCCAGCTTCCCACACCCCTCTACTAGCCAGCCCTGGGCCCCTCCCCCACCTCCTTCCCCGCTCCTGTTTACCTAGTTAGGAAAAGGCTTTAACAAAAATCACTTTGTATTGTAGTCATGTGTTCAACAATGTATATTTTGTTTCATTTGAGAATTTCATCTAAAATTAAAAGTAAGTTTTAGATAGGGCATGGTGGAACACTCCTGTAATCCCAGCTACTCTGGAGGCAGGGAAAGGAGAGGAGAATCACCACCAGCCGGGGCAAAGTTAGCTAATGACCCTGTCTCAAAACAAAGTAAAAGCAAAAGGGCCAAGTGCTAGAGCACTCTAAATTTAATCCTAAAAAGGAAGGAAGAAAAATGAATGCAGTTTTCAATAGAAAAACCGGTTCCCCACAAATATTAAAGAACTGTAAGAGCTTAGTATAGTAAACACCCACATCTCAACTTTTTTTTTTTTTTTGCTGGTCCTAGGCCTTGAACTCAGGGCATGGGCACTGTCCTTGAGCCTCTCTGTGCTCAAGGCAAGCACTCTACCACTTGAGCCACAGTGCCACTTCTGGCTTTTTCTGTGTATGTGGTACTGAGGAATCGAACCCAAGAGTTTATTCATGTTAGGCAAGCACTCTACCACTAAGCCACCTTCCCAGCCCCATGTCTCAGCATTTTTGACAGATGAAGACTCTGAACTTGGGTCCTCTTTCTCAGCGATGGGCAAGCACTGGAGAAGCATTACCGACCCACTAGTCTAAAACACATGCCCTCTTAGAGGGTCACGGAGCAGGAAGGAAACGGAAAAGTTATAGAGCTCCCAAGTGGTTCCATGCTATTGCATGCTGCCCGTCCAGCTTTCCTGAATCATCTTGACCTTTGTCCAAATCTGGGGAGAGTGTTCAGGCCCTCTGCCCTCACAGCTAGCCAAACCCGAACCTCATTCTTCTGCCATGCCAGTTCTGTGACCTCCACTCTGTGGGCCTTAGCGGCTGAAAGCATTGGCTGATGGCGTTCAACCTATTTATTATAAGCCATGGGACCTCGGTTTAAATAAAGGCCTGCCTTAAAGCCCAGAACCTAAGATAGTGAGATCCAGGATTATTCTGGGTGTGTTTGGGGGTAGAGCTGGGGGTATGCCCATCCCAGTCCCCAGGACATCCCCAAGACCATGCAGAAGAGGCGGGGTCTGATCTTAAGCGCAGGAAGCCTCTGCTTAGAGCTGACCCCCTCTCCCCGACACCTGCCGGGGTTCCTCCAGGTGAAGATCTTTGAGGAGGACTTCCAGAGAGAGCGCAGCGACCGGGAGCGCATGAATGAGGAGAAGGAGGAGCTGAGGAAGCAGGTGGAGAAATTGCAGGCTCAGGTCACCTCGTCCAATGCCCAGGTAGGAGCCCCTGGGCCAGGGAGGGCATCAGCCTGTCCTCATGGGAGACAGGAGGGAGAAGGGTATGAGGGCACCTGGAAACTTGATGGGTCCGCACACAACCTGGTCTGTCTCCAGCTCTTTGCCACACTCCTTTTAGGACCTTCACAAGTTCAGTGCCCTCTCTGGCCTTTGTGTAATGTGGAGGTCTAACTCAATAGCATCTCCAGCCCTGCACTTCTGTAGTCGGTGTCAATGCTGTAGAGGAACAAATCCATGCACTTGCTCACAGAGAGATGCACAAACCCTCCTGACCTGAGTCCAGTCCACTCCCGGGCACCACACAGCCAACAGCCTGGACTCTGCCCTGCCCCCTGGGGATGCCCAACACACCGGCCCTAGAGAGGTGCCCTAGACCCCGGCCTGGCCAGAGCCAGCTGTGTACACAGGCTTTTCCCTCCCCTCCTCCAGCTGAAAGCTCTCAAAGATGAAGAGAAGGCCAAAGAAGCGCTGAAACAGCAGAAGAGGAAAGCGAAGGTGAGAGGTTGGAGGAAAGAGAGGGCGCCTGCTGCCAGCCAAGGTGACAAGGTGTAGATGGCGGCATTACTGGCACACAGTGCTGAGGATGTGCCAGGTGTGGAGATCGTGGGTCACTGTGGCCCACAGTCTGTGCCCCCTGCCCACGTCTCAGCCTCTCCTGCCTTGAGGGAACAAGGCTTCTGGGTGTAGGGCGATCTGGGGGTGGCCCATCCGATGTGCCACAGGCCAGGGCCAGATGAGCCTTTTCTTGCAGGCCTCAGGAGAGCGCTACCACGTGGAGCCCCACCCAGAGCACCTGTGCGGGGCCTATCCCTACGCCTACCCTCCTATGCCAGCCATGGGGCCACCCCACGGCTTTGAGGACTGGTCCCAGATCCGCTATCCCCCGCCCCCTATGGCTATGGAGCACCCACCTCCACACCCCAATTTGCGCCTCTTCCATTTGGTGAGTCCGTGTGCCCCTCCTTCCCTGCAGGACACCCCAAGGGTGAGCGGGAGGTCAAGGGAGGGGTGAGGAGCCCTGGTCTGGACAGCAGGCTGATGGCTTGCAGGAGCCCTGCTTCTCCCACGTGCCAGGATTCCACAGCCACAGCGGCCCTGCCAGCAGTGGGTCATGGTGTAGCGTGGAGAAGGCCGCGGGAGGCTCCAGCAGGAGCCTGGCTTGTGTTGTCCTCATATGGATCTAGTTTGAAGCTTCACCCTGGTCTCCCTCTCATGTTCTCTTTGCCCCATTCTCTCTCTCTCTCTCTCTCTCTCTTCCCTCCCCCCCCCCCGGTTGTGGGGCTTGAATTCTGGGCCTGGGTGCTGTCCCTGAGCTCTTCAGCAAGAGGCAAGCACTCTCCCACTTGAGCCACAGCTCCACTTCATTTTCTGGTGGTTAATTGGAGATAAGTCTCACAGACTTTCCTGCCCGGTCTGGCTTTGAACTGGGATCCTCAGATCTCAGCCTCCTGAGTAGCTAGGGTGACAGGCCTGAGCCACCAATGTCCGGCCCTTCCTCTTCTCTTTCTTTGGCTTGCTTTCCTATCAATTCTTTCTCTGAAGAGCTCTGTCACCTGCCCCTCTCCTCCAGTCCCTGCCACACTGTAGCTCAGGCAATACTCCTGTCTTCTTCAGACTTCTTGCATATGACCATTGGTTTCCTGTTTTAGATTTAAGTTCTAAGTTTTTTATTGTTCAGGATATTGTGACATTTTCTTCATGCTTCTGATGTATTTTCATCATATTTATCTCTCCCATTCCTCTTTCTTGTCCTCTTCCCAAATCAAATACAGATTCAATTTTTTTTTTTTTTGGTTGGTCGTGGGGCTTGAACTCTGGGCTTGGGCGCTGACCCTGCGCTCTTCAGCTTAAGGCGAGTGCTCTACCACTTGAGCCACAGCACCACTTCCGGCTTTTTTCTTATGTGGTGCTGAGGAATCGAACCCAGGGCCTCATGCATGCAAGGCAAGCGCTCTACCACTGAGCCACCTTCCCAGCCCCATCCATACATTTTTATGATGGTATTTCAACTGTTTTTCCCATTACTGTTCTAATCCTCTTCACTTCCCCTGCTTTTCCCTTCTCCCTCCCACTTCCTAGGAACCCTCTTTTACCTACATCACCTTGGTTGTTGCATTTCCCCCTATCTCCCACAACTGAGAGTAAACATTTGATACTGGTCTTTATGGGACTGGCTTATTTCATTTACCATGACAATATTCAGTTCACCCATTTTCTAACATTTATACACATCTTTAGACACTAGAGTGTGGTGGTTAAGAAATTGGTTGAAGTTAAGCCAGGCACCAGTGGCTCAGGCCTGTAATTCTAGCTACTCAGACTGAGATCTGAGTAAAGCCAGCCCTGGCAGGAAAGACCATGAGACTCTTATCTCCAATTAGCCACCAAAAAGCTAGAAATGAGGCTGGGACTTTGAGTAAAAGAAGCTCAAGGACAGCATCTAGGCCCTGAGTTCAAGCCCAGGACTGGCACAAAAAAAAAAAAAAAAAAAAGCCAGGTGGCTCACGCCTGTAATCTTAACTACTCAAGAGGCTGAGATCTGAGGATTGTAGTTCAAAACCAGCCCAGACAGGAAAGTCCGTGAGGCTCTTACTTCCAGTATACCACCAGAAAACCAGAAGTGGTGCTGTGGCTCAAGTGGTAAAATGCTTGCCTGGAGCTAAAGAGCTCAGGGACAGTTCAAGCCCCAGAGTTCAAGCGCCATGACTGACCCAAAAAAAAAAAAAAGATTAACTGAAGTTGCAGAGACATTCCTTCAAAGCTAAGCTTTGAACATCATCCTAGCTGGGTGATGTTTCCTAGTCTTTCTGAGATTCAGGTACTTCATTTGAGAATGAAAACCTGGATAGTTGTTTGGCTTTTTTCTTTCTTTCTTTTATTTTTTCTTTTTTGCCAGTTCTGGGGCTTGAACTCAAGGCCTGGGCAATGTTCCTGAGCTTCTTTTGCTCAAGGCTAGCACTCTACCACTTGAGCCACAGCGCCACTTCCGGCTTTTTCTGTGTATGTGGTCCTCAGGAATTAAACCCAGGGCTTCATGTATGCTTGGCAAGCGCTCTACCACTAAGCCACATACCCAGCCCTAACCTGGATAGTTGTTAGGTTTAACTTATACTTGGTTAATGAGTGTTTAGTACTATTGTGTCATTGTAGCTTCGAGTGTTGTTTTCAATTGTGGTCATTGAGTAAGCCTCCATTTCATTGCAGCCAGAATATACCTGGCGTCCACCCTGTGCAGGGATGCGAAATCAGAGTTCCCAAGTGGAGCTGCCCACCGCCAGGCCTGCAGAACCAGGTAGGTCTAGTCCTCTGGCCCTAAGCTTGCCTCCTCCTGGGGGAGACAACTTCATCCCTACCAGGAAGCCCTAGGTTAGGAATGTTACTTTCTGAGCTTGGTGAAGGCAAGGTCCAGCTTCTGGACTAGTGTTGAAAAGGACATGATGTTAACTGCAGAGTCAACTGCAAGAGGAGTCAGGGATTTTTTTTTTTTTATGGTTCCTGATTTTTTAGAGTAAATTGGCCAAGAAGCAGTCAGCAGTAGCCATGCCCCTACTCACATGCTGTGCTGCCTTATAAATTCCTCTACCAGATTATCTAGTCCATCACCTTTAAACTCAGCCTCACACAAGTCTCAGCACACGGACAAAACATAGACAGGTTCTTTGCCAGGCTGAAACATAAGGGGCATCTTGTCCAGTTTCCAAGAGCCCTCATTCCCATCTGAAGGCTCAGGAGCCTGGGCCTTACTATTTGCGTTCCTACTACCATGCTGTTCTTCTGAGTTCTTATCAGATTCACCCATTACATTCTGAATGTATCATTCTAAGCTATTTCTAGAGTACCAAGCCTATTCCAAAGGTTTCTAAACCACAAATTCCAAACACAATAATGACCCTACTTCTTCCTTTTTTTTTTTTTTGTCGGTCATGGGGCCTGAACTCTGGGTCTGGGCACTGTCCCTCAGCTCTTCAGCTCAAGGCTAGCGCCTTACCACTTGAGCCACAGCGCCACTTCTAGCTTTTTCTGCTTATGTGGTGCTGAGGAATCGAACCCAGGGCCTCATGCATGCAAGGCAAGCGCTCTACCACTGAGCCACCTTTCCAGCCCCCACTTTTTTGTTCTTTGTTGTTCGTGGTCACAGGGACTGAACTCTGGGCCTGGGCACTGTCCCTCAGCTTTTCAGCCCAAGGCTAGTGCTCTACCACTTGAGCCACAGCGCCACTTTCAGCTTTTTCTGCTTATGTGGTGCTGAGGAATCGAACCCAGGGCCTCATGCATACAGGGCAAGCGCTTTACCACTGAGCCACCTTCCCAGCCCCTGACCCTGCTTCTTATGGCAATACCCTGTTAGCTTTGTGTCTTTGGGACAAAATACCTGAGATAGTCACTTGGTAAGGAGAAGGATAAGTTTTGGCTCATAGTGAGAGCTTTCAGCCCATGATGGTTTGGTCCTATCTCTTTGGGCCTGGAGTGGTCCAGCACATTATGGTAAGAGTATGAGGCAGCGCAGGTCTAGCAGCCAGGAAGCCAGAAAGAAAAACAGGAAGGAGCTGCTTTGAGGCGTACTTCCAGTGACCACACTTCCTTCCACTAGGCACCAACTCCTAACAGCTCCATTGCTATAGCAAAACATCTTGACAGGCCACTAAGCCTTTAGCACATGGGCCTCTGGGGGACATTTAAGATCCAAACCGTAACACTGCGATAAGAGTGAAGTATGGTATTCAATTTAAGGAGCTGAATAGATAGCATGGCTGCAGCCAAGAACCAAAGAAAAGAGTAATAGAGGAACAAGACAAGGTGTGAGACGTGGACAGGTCCATATGGTGCAGAGTGTGGTGGGCTGGGCTAGTCTGAATCCTAAACATAGCATTGAATATTTTGTGGAGGGCAGTACTAGGGTTTGAACTCAAGACCTTGTGTTGCTCTGCTTGTTTGTTTGTTTTTGGGTCCGGTCATGGGGCCCTGGCTCTGGGCTTGGGCACTGTCCCTCAGCTCTTCAGCTCAAGGCTAGCGCTCTACCACTTGAGCTACAGCGCCACTTCCGGCTTTTTTCTTTTTTCTTATGTGGTGCTGAGGAATGGAACCCAGGGCCTCATGCATGCAAGGCAAGCGCTCTACCACTGAGCCACCTTCCCAGCATCAAATATTCAAGTACTTTTTTTTAGTTGGTTGTGGGGCTTGAACTCAGGGCCTGGGCACTATTCCTGAACTCTTGCTCAAGATTAGTGCTTTACCACTTTGAGCCACAGCACCACTGTGTTGCTCTGCTTGTACACAACCATTTGAGCCATGACTCTGGTCTTGCTTTTCTTGCTGGTTATTTTGGAAGATGGAGTCTAGTCGACTTTCCTGCCAAGGCTGGCTTTGAACCATCATCCTCCAATCTCAGCCTCCTGAGTACATGGTATCACAGGTGTGAGCCACCAGCACCTGGCCTGGAGTCTTACATAAGTTCCCTCCAGGCACAGTATCTACCATAAGAAGTTTGCCCTCCCACATTTGCTAGTCAAGAGGAGACTCTGAGCCTAGTGACTGTCTTCACGCCCTGCATGTCTCTATGAGGCAGGAGCCACTGCCCCACCTGTGAGGCCCTGGGAGCTGAATCTTATCTAGTGGGTGAGAGCAGCGTGGAGGCCAAGGCCATCTCAGTATGACACGGAACTTTCTAGAAAAAGAGTCACAGGTGTACAGACATGGATCCAGCTGTGTCAGGAGGTGTAGAGCCAGCAGAGGCCACAGGACAGATGCTGAAAGAAGTGGGGAGGCTTGGTGCTTACAAGGGATTGGACCCCCACACTTTTCCACAGAGGATCTGCGGAGTCTGGTTGTTAAGTGGAAGAAGGTGGCTAGAGGAGAGGGCCAGCCCTCCGCAGGAGCTGCTCACTTCAGGAAGCCGGGACCAGACTGACTGGGCTCACTACCTCCCACGTCTAGGGTTTTGGGGGGGGGGGTTGTTGTTGTTTATTTCTTGCCAGTCCTGGGGCTTGAACTCAGGGCCTGGGCACTGTCCCTGAGCTTTTGCTCAAGGCTGGAGCTCTTACCACTTGAGCCACAGTGCCACTTCCACCTTTTTCTGTTTATGTGGTACTGAGGAATCGAACCCAGGACTTCCTGCATGCTAGGCACGCACTCTACCACTAAGCCACATTCCCAGCCCACATCTGGGACTTTGGACATGTCTTTTTAAGACCCCTCTTTGTCCCATCTCCCTCCTCCCTAGAAAGGTCATAATTGGCCTGCTTCACAGGGCTGGAGAGGACTGCATAAGGAGAGTCCCAGCACTCAGTAGTACTCAGGGCTAGCTAAGTACTCCCTGCTTGCAGCTTAAGACTTCAGAACTGACCATACCTCACCATGTGTTAAGTCCTCAACGCTTTTGTTTATTTAGAGTCTGCAAAAAAATGACAGTGAGGGGCCTCAGTGAGACCAGCTTGTGTCATTTGGCTCCACCTTCATCTTGCAGAGCCAGCTGACCTCAGATTACCCAAAAACTAGAGGCTACAGGCTCTGTATGGCCAGAGCCTTGGCAAGAAGGGAGGCTGACAGGAGCCGTCAGCTCACATCTCCAGCCCTAGACTGGGTACGAGACTCTGGAGACTTCACCCAGTGGCCCTCCACTGGGGCTTCTCTTCTGGTTGAGCCAGGAAGAACTCACTACTGCCTCGTACCACCATGTGGAGAGAGACTTTGATCTGCCATCCTTTGAGAAAGCATCTGGACATCAGCCTTTATGAATGAGATGCAACTCAGACCCCCTTCCTTTTCAAACCTACACAGAAGTGGTTTGGGGCCCATCTGGGCGCACATCCGATTAATGTGTGTATGTGTGTGTATCATTTTTGCTCCAAGTTCTATCGTCTATGCCCTCACCTCAGGAAGGAGCTGCAGAAGAGTGGGTTTGTCTGTAGCGCACAAGAGAACCGTGGGATATTCTGATGCTGGGCACTCCACTGCCACCCCCCACAGTAGCCTTGCAAGAGCCATCAGAGCCTGGGATCGAGGCCGCACCACCAACCATGTCTGCTGAGGGGCCTGAAGTCGCCGGGCCCTCGGCCCTCGGCCCTCACGGCTAGAGGTTTGTGGTGCCAGCGGCCTGCACTGGGGTGGCTGCCTCCAGGCACCTGTTTGTATGGATTTTGGACATAAATCCAAGTGGAAGATTTCTCTTCTGTGGCTGGTATTCTTTCTTTCATGTCCTAGCTACAGTTCTCCTCTCCATTGGTCAGTGTACTGGGCCCTTCCCACTACCCACCTCTCCCCATCCTCCCGAGAGCATCGCTAGCCTTTGGGGGGCAATCAGATGGAGCAGTGGAAAGAGTCAGGGGACCTGGCTTTAAATTCTGGTTTCTGTTTTTTTGGTGTTTTGGGTTTTTTTGGTTGGTTGGCTGGTAGTACTCTACCACTTTGAGCCACGGCACCACTTCTAGTGGTTCATTGGAGAGAAGATTCTCAAGGACTTTCCTGCCTGAGCTGGCTTTGAACCACGATCTTCAGATCTCAGCCTCCTAAGTAGCTAGGATTACAGGCGTGAGCCACTGGTGCCTGGCTTAAATTCTAGTTTTCACTTCACTCACCAGGAGATCTGGGCCTCAACACCTCTACTCAGCCCTAACTGCCTCGGAGAACTATGAGCAAGGATGAGAGCCCATGTGAACGGGTGTGTGAACACCAAAGGCTGAGTCAGAGAAGCAGTGATGGTCCTAAGTAGAAGCCACAATCAGATCTCCCCCATCCCCTAAGCAGGAGGAAGCACACAGAAGACTCAGCTGCTATAGAAAGGCCTTTACTGGGCAGACAGGTGTGAGAAGTGCCAGTGGACAGGGTGAGAGGAGAGGGCACATCCTCAGAAGGCCGGGGTGGCATCCCTGCCCAAGGGTGTCAGCCTGAATGCACTAAGGGCTGGCCCCACAGACAGGCTCAGGGGAGGCCCGCCCACCAGGGCTTCGGGCCCCTCCCTCATGGAGATGCCACGCCTGACCCAGGGTACGTGGTCCTCACTCTCACATCTGCCTTGGCTGATCTCAGGGAGCACTATGGGATAGGGCTAGGGGGTGGAGGGGGGCAAGGGGGGGGCTCTTCAGGAAGGAAAGAGGCTGGGCAGTGTCAGGGAGGACTTGAGTGGTACCATTGAGGCAGTTGACCCCAAGGTTGAAGTCCAGTTGAACGTAGTGCTGCTAGTTTTTTTTTCTTGGGGGTCTGGTGAAAGTAAATGGTTTTATTGGAACAGAGAAATGGAGAGCAAGGACCATGGGTCAGCCTGCACACAGCCCAGGTGCATGGTACACCACCTCGGGCGCTCCAACAGGTAAGGCTTGGCTGTTTCCTCGTGTGCATGCACACACATGGTCACACATTGGAGGCTCGTGTGCAGATGCCCACAAGCACAGTGGTATACGCAATTGTGTGCATGCATTGTGCCAGGGTGGGGACTTGGGTAGTAAAAAAAGAAGAAAGGGCGGGGTGGTCTATGGTGGTAGGATGTGGCTGGAAATGGGGGTTCCCTCCTGAAGAGCATCCCTGCGTGGTGGGCGGGGCGGGGTCGGGGCTGTTACTTCCCCTGGGCCCTCAGGGCTGCCTGCTGCCTCATGTGAGCCAGGATGTCCATCTTGACGTTGCTGACGGTGGTGCGGTGGTACCAGCGCATGACGGGTTTGCCATCGGGCCCCACCAGGAACTTCTCAAAGTTCCAGCGGATGTCATGGACCTTCATGGGCTCCCAGAAGAGGCGGCCGGGCGAACCCAGGAGCTCCGCGGTGGGAGGGCAGGAGTTCTGGGACAGGGATGGAGGAAGAGCTTGAGGTCCCGCCCGGAGGCCTCCACCCCACCATTCTCCCCAGGCCTCCGGGAGGGAATAGACCCAAGACACTGCCAGTCTGAAGGGTGACTAGAAGATTCTGAGGTCCTTAGCCTGTCCCTCCCAGGCCTCATCTGGGGGCTGGAGCCAGCGGCCAGGGTCAGTCAGCAGGCCACACTTCCCACTAGGCTGCGCACTCACCTTTAGGAAAGTGTAGAACTTCTGCTCCTTCTCCCCATTCACGTCGCCTTTCTCAAAGAGTTGGAAATTAGGGACGAAGCCCCCACCAGGCCGGACGTACCTGTGAGGGATGAGGAGACAAATACAGATCAGAAATGAGGGAAGGGACAACGCAGGATGAAGTATTGGGAAGCCACTGACGGTTGAAGGTGCATAGGCAGAACACGGGTTTGGGGTCATCTTTTCCAGCTTGGTTCCTTCTCAGTACCCAGCACACCCTGTACCCCTCAGAACCACCCTCAATTCCTGCCATGCCCTGTGTATTCAGCCATCCTTTGCTCTCTTCCTGCCCCTCCCCCGACTAAACAGGGAGTGGCCCTGAGTGGCCTAGGGGCCCGTCCGGAGCTCATGGTTTCTCGGGGTCACAGGGCACACACTCACTTGAGGCTGGGTAGGATCTCTGAATTCTCTCCTGGCTCCTGTTTTCCGAATTGGTTGCAAGGGAAGCCCAGAATGACCAGACCAAATGGTGCAAGTTCTTCTTGTAGTGCATTCAGTTCTAAGCCAGAGAGCAGAGATGGGACAGCCTGGTGAGGAAGCCGCCTCGTGGCCCTGCTGCCCCTGCCCGCCCATTGGACAGCTGAAACCAGATGCCTGAGGAGGAAGGGACTTGCCCAGGATCACCCAGTGAATTTGAGGCAGTGCTGGGATTTAGGTCCTGCAGTGGGTGGATCAGAGATTTGGGAGAAGAGAGAAATAACCGGCTCATGCCTGTCAGCTACTCAGGAGGCTGAGATCCGAGGGTTTGCAGTTCAGAGTCAGCCCAGGCAGCAAAGTCCATGAGATTCTTATCTCCAGTTAACCACCAAAAAGCTGGAAGTGGAGCTATGTATGGTTCAAGTAGTTAGCTTCGAAGAATGCTCAGGGACAGTGCCCAGGCCCTGAGTTCAAGTCCCAGGGCTGACACAGAAAAGAAACAGTCTCTAGCCCACTGCACAGGGCCCAGTAACTGGGCTGGTTAGCCAAGGACAACAATTCTTCAGAACATTCAGGAGCAAGAGCTATCCATCCTTGGACAGAAAGCAGAGGCCCTCCTTGGGGATACTGGGGGGGCGGGGCTCACAAGTCTTCTGGGAATTCAGGAACCAAAACAAGGATCTTGGTCAGCTCCTTGAGTTTCCTTAGCCTCTCCTGGCCTTATATGCAATGTCTAGCCTGTCTCTTGTTCAAATGCAGTCTAGCTTTTTCTAGCATCTAGACAAATATCTGAAGCAAAGCACTTACTACCACTGGGCCTTGCACCCTGCTGTCTTCCCTCAGGAATTCGCCTGTGAGGACCAGACAGACTCAGGACCAACCCTCACCCCACTCCCAATCCCTGCCAGCATTCTGTGGATCTTTTCCTGGGTGCCGTCAGAGGCCTTTGACCAGCCTATACCCTTGGCTCCTTCCTCTACCCCAGCAGGGTTGGGGGTGGGGGGGAGGGATATGATAAGGAAGTTTTTTTTGTTTTTTTTTTTGGGTCCAGTCGTGGGGCCTGAACTCTGGGCCTGGGCACTGTCCCTCAGCTCTTCAGCTCAAGGCTAGCGCTATACCACTTGAGCCACAGCGCCACTTCGGGCTTTTTTCTTTTTGCTTATGTGGTGCTGAGGAATCGAACCCAGGGCCTCAGGCATGCAAGGCAAGCACTCTGCCACTGAGCCACCTTCCCAGCCCCTGATAAGGAAGTTTTTTTGTTTTTGTATTTGTCGGTCATGGGGCTTGAACTCTGGGCTTGGGCGCTATCCCTGTGCTCTTCAGCTCAAGGCGAGCGCTCTACAACTTGAGCCACAGCACCACTTCTGGTTTTCTAGAGGTTTATTGGAGATAAGAGTCTCAGGGACTTAGGTGCCTGGGCTGGCTTTGAACTGTGATCCTCATATCTCAGCCTCCTGAGTAGCTAGGATTACAGGCGTGACCCACCAACAGCCGGCAATAAGGAGTCTTGAAGCATTTGACCCAGGTCGAATGACAGGTTCTGTCCCTGCTAGCTTTGTGGCCCTGGTTAAATTTGTTGGTGTTTTGTTTTTCCTCTATTGAGCCTTGGTATCCTCATCTGTTGATTGGCTGAGCAACATTTCCTTGAAAGCTTATTGTAGAGTGTACTATGTGGCCTGCCCTCCATCCCCCTTTCTCTGTCCCCATGTACTCTGGGGCCCCATGTACTCTGGAGAGTGGCCAGCTCTCCAGACTGGGCCAAGGTAGATGAGGCTGGGGGAAGATGAACCTCTGAGCCAAAGTCCCATCCCTTTGCTTTTAATGTAGCTGAAGTGCTCAGGGATCAGAAGCATCTAGAATCTTCTAGAATGTATTCAAAAGCAATCAGACATCAGGCTTACCTGATGGACTTCAGAAACAAGGGGAATATAGTAGAGTTTGGGGATATGTGTTTGGAACCACCTCCTTTTTTCCTGACCCAGGAGCTCCTGTGATTGAAGTGTGCCTGAGTGGCGAAATCAGGGGAGGATGGGCTCTTACCAATGTATTGGTCTGTCAAACCTCAGTAGCTGGCTACATTGACAAAGAGGACGTATTTGCCAGCGTACTGCTTAAAGGGGATGTACTCCTCTCCATCAATGGTGAGGGCCCCGTACTCGTAGATGGTGCCGCTCACGCCATCATGGCAGTCAGTCTGAGAGAGAAAAACCAGAAACAGAGCAGTTAGGCTGGAAGGATGCTGGCTGGGATAGTTGTTCAGTTGTCTAGTTGTCCAGCTTCAAGTGAACGGGAGATTCCCCAGAGAGAGTGGCTGGCCCAGGTCCACACTGGAAATAGAACTGGTCATGGAATATTTGATAATGATTCGTGTGTGTGTGTGTGTGTGTGAGAGAGAGAGAGAGAGAAAGAGAAACAGAGACAGACAGTTCTGAGATTTGAATGTCAGGGTGCTGTCCTGAAGCTTTTTGGGGGTTTTTACCAGTCCTGGGGCTTGAACTCAGGTCCTGGGCACTGTCCCTGAGCTTCTTTCACTCAAGGCTAGCACTCTACCACTTGAGCCATAGTGCCACTTAGGGCTTTTTCTGTTTATGTGGTACTGAGGAGTCAGGCTAGGCAAGCACTCTACTATTAAGCCACATTCCCAGCACCTCCCTAAGCTTTTGTACTCAAGGCTAAAGCTCTACCATTGGAGCCATAGCTCCATTTCCAGCTTTTTGGTGGTTCGTTGGAGATCATAAGAGTCTCATGGATTTTCCTTCCTGGGAAGGCTTGGAACTGTGATCCTCAGAACTTAGCTGCTGCTGCTTTTTTTGTTTTTGCCAGTCCTAGGACTTGAACTGGGCCTAGGCACTGTCCCTGAGCTCAAGGCTAGCACTCTACTACTTGAGCCACAGAGTCACTTCCAACTTTTTCTGTTTAAGTGGTACTGAGGAATCGAACTCGGGGCTTCATGCATGCTAGGCAAGCACTCTACCACTAAGCCACATTGCCAGCCCATGATCTTAGCTTCTTGAATAGTTTAAATTACAGGCATGTGCCACCAGTGCCCAGCTTTGATATTGATTCTGAGGGCACAAGTGTTGATGGGAAGCACTGAGAACTACAGAACCCTGGAGATGACTTCGGAATAATGATCTCCACATCCATGTCAATTGAAGAGCATTTACCAAGCTTGGAAGGTAGTGGCCCAGATGGAGCTCGTAAGTTGGGTTCTGGGGTTGAGCCAAGGAGATGATTGGGTGGCTACTGTAATAGCCCAGGCTTAGGCTACTGTGAAGGAAAAGCTGGTCAGGGCTTGGAATGTGGCTTAGTGGTAAGAGTGCTTGCCTTCAGCAAAAGCAGCGCAGGAAGAGTGCCCAGGCCCTGAGTTCAAATCCCAGTACTGGCCAAAAAAAAAAAAAAGCTGGTCAGAAAGGAGGAAGTGTTTATGGAGAGGGGAATTCAATGGTCAAGATGAGGTCTGGAATGGGGAAAGGCTCTATATACGACAGAAAGACAAAAGTCCCATGCCTAGCGTTTAATAGCTGTTCGCATGGACAATCAATACACCTTCCGGTCTGCCCACCTTCCCCTCCTAGTCAGCCTCCAAGATGAGGAAGGATGGAGCCTAGCACTGTGGAGTGAGCTGCAAGACCTGAGCTTCACCTGCAGCTCCATCAGCTCTGGGGGATCTTAAACTAGCCCTTTGTCTTCCCTAGGCCTTACCTTGAAATAACTCAACCGTTCTCATCACAGAGGGTCACCAGTGTCAGAGAGGAAGAAAGGCACTAATGCTAGCCAGCAGAATACTGCCTGTGACACCCCCAAACCTCATCCCTCACCCCAGTGACAAAGTGTCATTGGATGGGACCTAATAGTGAGGAAAAAGCTTGAAGCCATTGCCCATGATCTTTAGGGCCCAGGAAGAGAGATCAGGAATAATTGCGGTGTAAACTTGGTATGAGAGATAAGAGAGATCAGAGTTCTGGAAAGCTTGATCCTGAGATAAGGTTTCCCCCCCCCACACACACACACCTCAGTCTAATTGATGAAGGGCGTCACCTGGAAGGCAGGGTGTGTCCCCCATTTGGGGCTCAGGAAAGCCTCCTGGGTCAGGGTTACCACATCCCCGAGCCAGGGCAAGCTGGCCTGCCTCTGCCAGGTCATTCCTCAGCCATTGCCAGCTCTCTTCTTGGCTCTGGTGCAAATTCCCTACTTTCCATGAGTCTAATATTCCACACCCCATGACTTCATGTGGGTGCTGGGGGCAGGGCCTAGACCTCAGCTCAGCATTCCTCCTGCCCCAGATCGGTCTGGCTTTTGCCTTAAAATGCAAACAGAAGTCAAGTGCCTGTGACTCAGGCCTGTAATCCTAGCTGAGATCTGAGGATTCTGGTTCAAAGCCAGCCTGGGTAGGATAAGTCTGTGAGATTCTTATCTGTAATGAACCACACCAGAAAAACCAGAAATGGTACTGTGGCTCAAGAAGGAGAGCACTAGCTTTGAGTAAAACAGCTCAGGGACAGTGCCCATGACTGGCACACACACACACACACACACAATACAAACAGACCAGAGTACAAACAGCACCCTAGCTGGCCACAGAGACCTGGCAATGAGATCGTAGAATTTCAGCACACCACAGCAAGCCTCTCCTTCTCCTCCAGTCTGATCTGAACTTGATCTCTGAGAAATGGTGAGGAGAAAAGCCATGGGGTGGCCTAAATGGCTATGAGATTAAATAACCAGGGCTTCTTAACAAGGGGAGGATTATCTTTGGGGCACAGTTTTCAGGACGGGATGGGGTGAGAGGGTCCCCTCATTAAGTTCTGGGTAGGGAAGGGGAAAGCACTGGATGACTTATTTCTGTGGGGAGGTCCCAATGACACTCTAAAGCCTTTCTACTGTGGCGGTTGAGACTCAAGGCTGTAGGGTTAGGTTAGCAGAGATCAGAGGGTCCTTGGGGGGCGGAGTCACAGCCCAGTAGGAAGAGGAGACAGGCAGCAGGGGGAGGGGCCTCTCCCCCCCACCCCCCACCCCCACACACACCAGAAAAAAAGAGGAGTTTCTGATGGGGAGGGTGTGGAGGATGACACTCAGCCAGGCCCTGGCTATCTAGGACAGTTGATCCTTGACTTCCTTCTTTCCCATCCTACCACATCTATTGGTGGGATTGCTGGGAAAGGAAAACTAGCCTGGAAGGCTGGAGCCGTCTAGGCCTCGACACATCATCTCTCACTCTGGGTGAGCATCCTTTTTCCCTTCCGGCCTCCAGATCCTCCACTGGAAGATGGAGTCCGATTCAGGGCTGTCTTAAGAGCCCTTCAAGCCTTGACGTCAGCCTGTGGTTCCATGATTCTCTCTGCCTAGTCACCTAGAAACCAGCGGTTACTAGGATCCCAGGCACGTCAGCAGCTGTTTAGTCTCTGCAGCTTCTGCAACAGTCTTTTTGTCTAGAGCAAGGACAAGGAGCCTGGGCAGCCAGAAGCTGGACTGAGGGAACACAGCAAGAAAAGGAGGATTCCCTCTGTGCTAGCCCCTCCCTTGGAGTTAGGAGGTGGAAAACATCTGGGAGCTGAGTCACCTTTGGCCCACCCCATTCTCCATGTGGTCCCTCCCCATGCCTTTGTCTTGGGGGCAAGTACTAGGGCATGGTAACTCCAAGAACTTGGGAGGGAACATGGGCATGGCCAGGCCGCCATTAGCCAGCAAGTCCTGGCTGGCTGTGTATGATAGGATCACACTGACCCCAAAACTTGACCCTGTTCTCTCCAGATCCATCCAGTCCTTCCCAGAATTCTTTAGCAAACACGTGACTCTGATCAGTCACTCACAGAGTCTTACCTTCAGCCTTCCAAGGGCAGAACAGAATCTTCCCCTCCCTGGCTTTCCTTGAGCTGACAAGATAGGACTGACCCCATGGTGCTGGCCTGTCTACCCACCACCTCACACTACTGTGTATTCTGTGTGTGTGTGGGGGGGGGGGAATTGTGAGGCTTGAACTCAGGGCCTGAGCTCTTTTGCTCAAGGCTAGCACTCTACCATTTTGAGCCACAGGGCCACTTCCTGTTTTCTGGTGGTTAATTGGAGGTAAGCATCTCACAAACTTTCCTGCCTGAGCTGGCTTTGAACCACGATCCTCACATCTCTGCCTCCTGAGTAGCTAGGATTAGAGGAGTAAGCCACCAGTGCCCAGCTCAGAAAAAAAAAAAATGCTTTCTGAGCCATTGGTTAGGAACAAGGCTGGGAGGAAGAAGGATTTTGAAGTCATACAGTCTTTATACTTGACACCAAGGAGAGGAAGACAACTGGATTTTAGGCTGAGAGTAGAGGTTTGGGCTGGGTGCTGATAGCTCACACTGAGATCTGAAGATCAAAGTTCAAAGCCAGCCTGGGCAGGAAAGTCTGTGAGATTCTTACCTCCAATTAGCCAGCAAAAAAGCCAGGAGTGGAGCTGTGGTTTAAGTCACAGGACACCAGCCTTGAGTGATCAAACTAAAGGACAGTGCCTAGACTGAGATCAAACCCTGGTATTAGCATGAAAGAGAGAAAGAAAGAGAGAGAAGGAAGGAAGGAAAAGAAGAAGAAAAGATGGGGCTTTTAACAGGCAGCAGTACCCTGCTTTTAGGATGAGAGGTAGATAGAATTTTGGAAACAGCATCATGGACATAGAAGATCTTAGAACAAAGGCCCAGAGAATTCCTATGCATGGTGCATGTGTGTATGTGTGTGCGTGCGCATGCACACTCGTGTGCATGTGTATATGTTGGGAGGTTGGGGGTAACATAGTGTCTCTCTGGGTCTCTCCCTACTCCTGCTTTCTGCCCCCACACCCTGGGGAAGAGGAGAGATTTTTAGGACCTACCCAGCCCCTCCTGACCAAGGAGACACACATACTGGGTCATCCCTCCCTGTCCCCCCTCCAGCTTAGGGACAGACAGGCTGGGGGGAGTTCTGTCTCTCCTTTGGAGAAACCCACTTTGTTCTGTCTACCAGATTTGCTCAGGTGCTGAAGCCACCCGCAACAGCAGCTTCTCCCAGCAGCCTCTCTGAAGCCCTTAACTTCTCTCTAACCCTGTCCCACCCTAGAGGTGGAGACTCAGAATCCAGAATGTTCTCCCACTGTCAGTCCCAAAGCTCTTTCTGACCCAGATCTCTACTCTTCTCCCCAGGCCCCTTGGGGGTCCACGTGGACATTTGCACCTGCAGATGTTCTTGGGCTAGAAGAGCCGTGCAACAGCAGCCCCCCCAAGACTGGACCAGCCAGGTAACAGCTTCTCCCCTCCCTCTCCTGGGGGCCTGTAGAGCCCAGCTCCAGGGCAAATCTCTGGGTCCCCCCCCCGTGATACCCCACCCTCTCCAGGCTCTCCTGAAGCGGGATGGTTGGCACCCATGCCATATGCATGTAGCAGGGCACCCCGAGAGGGCATTGGGGGTGACAATGTGACAGACACCCCCTCCCTCCCTCCCTTCTGCCATCGATGGAACTGAGAAGCGATGATGATCACCGCCCCCCCAGTGGGGGTGTCCAGTGGGGGTGCCCCCTGGCGCATGGGCTGGGGAGTAGGCAGAGTTTAGGGCGTCCCTTCTGGAGGGGAGCCTGGGAACACAGGTGCCTGGCCGCCGCTCTCATGGACAGCTGGGATCTGGGTTCGATTCCCCATGTCCCACCCTTGGAGGAGAGCAAACTCACCCTCGATTTCTCTTGTCCCCAGCCCGGCGGGACGAAGCCGGCCAGGAGCAGGGAGAGGAGGCAGGAGGCTCGGAAGAACCGGGCCATGGCGAGCTGAGCGCGTCCCGGGCTCGCTGGCCGTGGACGCGGTCCGATCCCCAGCCACCGTCCGTCTGAGGTGTCTCAAGCTCCCAGCCACCTTTCAAGCCCTCAGCGATGACCAATCCACGGCCGGGCCGGGGCCCGAGTAGCCAATCGCAGGGCGGTTAGGATTTCAGGGGCTTAGACGGCCCCGCCCCCTCGTCCTCCCCTTCCCCAGCCCCGGGCAACAGTGACATCAGCAAGTCTGGGCAGAGACAGGAGAGTCCGGTCCCTCCTCTGTGGGCACAGCCTTGCCCAAGCCCAGTCAAGGGCCAGTGGGGGTCAAGAGCCCCCCACACACCAGAAACTGATGGAAGGTTAGGCTCTGGAAGGCAATTCTTAACCCTGGACTTTAAATGCATCCATCTCTGGTCCTGCCCAGGATTTGAGTATTTACATTTCCAGCAAGATTTGAACTTAGACCTACAGGAAGCTTAGGAAGGGAAGTGTGGGGCGCTGGGGTTTGGAATGAGCCCTTCCTCCCTAGGTAAGAGGCACAGAGACACGAGCTAGATACACTTATTCCCATGTAATATGTCTTTCTGTCTGTCCTCTTTTAATTGACATATAAAAATTATATGTTTATGGGACACAGAGATCAGGAAGATTGCGGTTGGAGATAAGCCACAGGCCAGAAAAAAACAAGAGTTAGGAAGGATGTGGCTTAGTGGTAGAGTGCTTGCCTAGCATGCATGAAGCCCTGGGTTTGATTCCTCAGCACCACATACTCAGAAAAGGCCAGACGTGGTGCTGTGGATCAAGTGGTAGAGTGCTAGCTTTGAGCAGTGCCCAGGGCCTGAGTTCAAGCCCCAGGATTGACAAAGAAAAAAGGAAAAGTTAGGATGATTCCATTTCAATAAACCATTCATCTGTAATTCCAGATACATGGAAGACAAAGGTAGGAGAATTGCAATCTGAAGATGGCCTGAGACAAAAATATAAGACTGGCTGGGAAGGTGGCTCAGTGGTAGAGTGCTTGCCTTGCATGCATGAGGCCCTGGGTTCAATTCCTCAGCACCACATAAGCAGAAAAAGCCAGAAGTGGTGTTTTGTTTCAGTGGTAGAGCACTAGCCTTGAGCTGAAGAGCTGAGGGACAGCGCCCAGGCCCAGAGTTCAGGCCCCACGACAGGAAAAAAAAAAAAAATCCCTATCCAATATAATAAAAGTAATAAATAATAACTAATAATAATTCAACTAGTAAAGTACCTGTCTACCAAGTGTGAGGATCTGAGTTCAAACACCAGTACCACCACCCCGTGGAAAAACACCCTGAATGTTTACCAGTAGTTTACCTGTACAATCTTGAGCACATTACTTTCCCCTCTTTGTGCCTCAGTTTCCCCAATTGTGTGATGATGGGATTGTTTAACGATCTCTAAGGCCCTTCTGGCTCGAATTGGATGGTATGCTTTTAAGTGATGGACTTAGCCCAGGACTCTTTGGAGGCTCATGAGGAATACTTGGCCCAGGGCTTAGTACACAGCAGGTGTTTAAATGTTTGCTATAATCAATCATTACATTGGTTTTTGCTCGGAAATACTTACCAGTCAGGCCAGGCAGTTATAGGTCTGGACTCTCCAAGCACACTTCTGTTGACAGACAGGGAAGTGGAGCTTGTGACTGGGCAGCTGGCAAGAGCCCCTCACCCCCACCCCTACCCCACAGTCATTGAGGGGATGGGGAGAAGAGGCAGAGAATTGGCCTTCAGACATCCTCTAAAGCAGGTTCTGAGCCTGCCTGGCTTTAGGCTTGTTGATGTGAGTCCTAGACCTAGGTACTCTCGAGAAATCTCTTCTCACTTGAGACACTATGTCTTCACTGTAATTCAGGAAATCAGTGTCCTCGTGGTATGGTGGAAGATCTGTCCCCATTCTTCACAAAGTTTCCCTTTCCTCAAACCACAGCATGTTGATGTGGAGGAAACCTTGAAGACTAGTAAGTCTTTAAATGCACAAGGCAGAGACTGGCTGACCCAAAATATGTGTTCCATAAATGTTATTTACTCTAACACCATAATTTAGGGCAACTTGGAGATAGAGAACAATTTACTCAAGTTTTCACAACAAATTGGTGGTTAAAAAAAAGGACCAGAATCCAGGTCTCTAGACGCCAGTCTGGAGTTTTCTCTACATTCTGTTGTCTTTTGAGGTTCATACTTACCCAAAGGCACAAACATCTGTATATGGTGTTTGTCAGATTAGCATCTGTAGGCCTCTGGTTACCCTTGAAGTTTATGCCTAGTAACATGTCAAGCACCCTGAGGGAAGTCAAAGAGTTTTCTAGAAATTGTAGTCCTTGTCCTCAAAGGGGCATGCAGGCAGGGTGCTGGTGGCTCACGCCTGTAATCCTTACTATTCCAAAGGCCTCATGAGAACTGAGGATCTCAGTTCTAAGCCAGCTCAGGCAAAAATAAGTCCATGAGACTCTTATGGCCAATACCCACCAAAAGGCTGAAAGTGTTAGAGTACCAGTCTTAAGCGAGAAAAATAAATAACTAAAAGAAGCCACACAAATACCAGAGGTACTCAGTACAAGCCCCAGTACTGGCACATAAAAAAGGGGGGGTTATGCATTAGAGATCTCTGGGGTGATGCAGGTGAGGCGTCTTAGGTGGGCTGGCTTCTTAGGGGGAGTACCACCTCATTTGTCTTGAGGGATTTTCTCTAGAGGAGACAGAAGGGACAGAGAGAGGCCTGAGGCGCTGCCCCTGGGTTGCTGTGCAGACAAGTCACTTTCCCTCTCTGGATCTCAACTCATCTGTTACACCAAGGGCTTTAACAATCTCTCCAAAGCAGGCTCTGTGGTTTTCAGTTCCCAGGGTCTAAGGAAAGCTATGCTGCGGGAAATTCAGGCATCCTGACACCATTGGCAGTGGGGTTGGGACTTGGGAGAGCGTGCCAGGCCTTGAGGAGGGTCTCATGTGTAGTCCACTCTTGGGGGACCACATGCCAACAAGTATGAAGATGAGAATGAAAACATTACAATCTCAGGGCTGGCAATGTAGCTTAGTGGTAGAGTAGCTTGCCTAGCACGCATGAAGCCCTGGGTTCAATTCCTCGGTACCACATACACAGAAAAAGCCCAAAGTGGCGCTGTGGCTCAAGTGGTACAGTGCTAGCCTTGATCAGAAGAAGCTCATGGATGGTGCCCAAGCCCCCGAGTTCAAGTACCCGGACTGGCAAAAAACAAAACAAGGGACTGGAAAGATGGCTCAGTGGTAGAGTGCATGCTGCCTTGCATGCCTGAGGCCCTGGGTTCGATTCCTCAGCACCACATAAGCAAAATGAAAAAAGCCGGAAGTGGCGCTGTGGTTCAAGTGGTAGAGCACTAGCCTTGAGCTGAAAAGCTGAGGGACAGTGCCCAGGCCCAGAGTTCAGGCCCCACAACCAGACCCAAAAAAACAAAACAAAACAAAACACAAAAAAAGCATTACCATCTGGCCTGATTCTGGGGATTGAACTTAGAGTCTTATTCCCTACTTAGCTATTTGACTCAAAGTAGGTGCTCTAATACTTGAGCTACTCCTCCACTTCTGGCTTTCTGTTGGTTAACTGGAGATATGAGTCTGTTGGATTTCTCTGCCCATGCAGAGAACTGTGATCCTCAGATCTCAGCCTCCTGAGTAGCTAGGATTACAGATCTGAGCCACCAGTACTGGTATGCACACCCTCTTTTTCTTTTTTTTTTCTGCCAGTCCTGAAGCTTAAACTCAGAGCTTGGGCACTATCCCTGAGCTTCTTTTGTTCAAGGCTAACCCTCTACCACTTGAGCCACAGCACCACTTTTGGCTTTTTCTGTATATGTGATACTGAGGAATCGAACCCGGGGCTTCATGCATGCCAGGCAAGCATTCTACCACTGAGCCATATTCCTGGCCCCACAGTCTTTTGATCAGCAGTCTTTTTTAGTACATTTGGTTCGTTTGTTCCCGGAGATGAATGTTTGGAAAGATGTTGTTCAGCACCAGGCAACTTCTAATTGCTCTCAGGTTAAAGTTCAGATTCCTTAACGCTTCAGGGAATGCCCTCCGAATCCACCCACTTCATCTGTGCCCTGTTCTTCTTACTCTGTCTACTTTAGCTGCACTGGATGGCTGTTCTTCCAACTCTTTCTGCCTGTCACTCTAATCATTTTTCTGTTAGGCCTTGGGGCTCTCTGTTAATGTCACAGGTACTGTCCCCTCCCTAGCTTTTTCACTGGCTTCAAACCACAACTCTCAAATCTCAGCCTCTTGACTAGCTAGGATTACAGGCAAGGGCCATGGGTGCTCAGCCTTGTTTGTTTGTTTTTTTAACTTTTAAACAGCTTTATTGAGAAACAGTTCATATCATTGAAAATGCTGGATTCAGCTGCTCTATTTCATTCACAATATGTTCAACCCTTACCAATTTTTAAAGTTGTTGTCTTAGAAATCAAACCTACACTTTAGCTATTTCTTTTCCTTTTTTGTCAGTTGTAGGGCTTGAACTCAGGGCTTGGGCACTGAGTTCTTTTGCTCAAGGTTAGCACTCTACTGCTTTGAGCCACAACTCCACTTCCAGTTTTCTGGTGGTTCATTGGAGATAAGAGTCTTGCAGACTTTCCTGCCTAGGCTGGCTTTGAACTACCATCCTCAGATCTCAGCCTCCTCAGTGGTTAGGATTACAAGTGTGAACCACCAGTGGCTAGCTTACCTTTAACTATTAGCTCCCATCCCTACACATACACACACACACACACACACACACACACACACAGGAATTTTAGGGCACATTGAGGTAGGGACCAAGAAAGTTTATTAGTAAAGCAAAGTGAATAAAAAATAGTACACAAACCCACTCAAGGGTGCAGACACATCAGAAAATAGGTGCAATGGGTCTAGGGTATTTGTGGTGAAAAAGTCAGTTAGTATTTGGCTCAAATTCACCTAAGGATATAAGCTTACCTTTGATTGAGCACCTGGTATGTGTAATCATTCTTTTTTTTTTTTTTGTCGGTGGTGGGGCTTGAACTCTGGGCCTGGGCACTGTCCTTCAGCTCTTCAGCTCAAGGCGAGCACTCTACCACTTGAGCCA